GCAGCGCGCCCGCGAGTGGGAGACGGCGGCCGCCGAGCGCGCCACGGCGTTGGCGGCGGCCGAGGAGCAGCTCCGGCAGGCCCATGCCGACGCCGCGCGGGCCGAGGCCGAGGCGGCGCGACGGGCCAAGAAGGAGGCCGGGCGGGTGCGTCAGGAGGCGGTCGAGGAGGAGGCCGTGCGGCTGCGGGAGGCCGTGCGGGAGCTGACGGAGGAGCGGGACAAGGCGCAGGAGCGGGCGCGCAAGTCGGCGGCGGCTGCGGCGAGCCCGAGCAAGGCCAGCAGCCAATGGCAGAAGAAGGCCGGCGAGCTGAAGAAGCAGCTCGAGGAGGCCCAGCGCGAGAGGGCGCAGGAGGCGGCCAAGCTCAAGGAGGCGGCCGAGGCCAGCCGCAAGAAGGCCCAGCGCGAGGCCAAGGAGAAGGCGGCCCTGCGCAAGGCCCACGACGAGCTGGCCCGGCAGCTGGCCGAGGCCGCCGACGGGTCCCAGCGCGCGCGCGCCCTCCAGGAGGAGCTCGACGCCCTCCACAAGCAGGGCGCCGCACGCGACCGCAAGTACGCCCACGCGCGGCAGAAGCGCGACGAGCTGCAGGCCGCCCTCGCCCAGAGCCAGCAGGACCTCCTCCTCCTCGAGCAGCAGCTCGACGCCCTCCGCCTCGACGCCCAGCAGCAGCTCGCCGCCCTCACCAAGCAGCACCAGGCACACGCCAAGGTACGCACCCATCATAAACTATTACCCAATATATGCGTAGTCTCTCATTCACCGCTCACTCACATTCTACGACATACACACACCACACGACACGCGCGCGCACACACACAAACACCACACCACACCACACACGGCGCGCACACATACGCACGCACACATCACGACACACATAATCCAGGATCTCAGCCAGGTCATTTCGGAGCTGCGGGCGCAGGCGCAGAGCAACGACGCCGCCTACCAGGCCCTCAAGTCCGAGTTCGCGCACGCCACGTATGGAATCATCTCCTCCTCCTCCTCCTCCTCCTCCTCCTCCATGGAGGCCACCAACCAACGCGACCCCGTTCCAACCACAACAACACATGTTGGTTCTAACGCGGCTCCCCGTGGGTGATGGCAGGCGCTGCGCCGGCGAAGAGAAGGCGCGGCTGGAGGAGGAGCTCGACGCCCTGCGCGCCCAGCCCACTGCTACGCGCGCCGGCGCCGATGATGAGGAGGAGGAGGGAGTGCGGCAGCAGCCGCTGGGGGAGGTGCTGGCGCAGCTGCAGGACCTGAAGGCGCTCAATCACGAGGTGCTGGACCTGCTGGAGCACGAGAAGGAGCAGCACCGGGCCGCCCTCGGCGAGCTGCAGGTGGTGCGGGAGCAGCTGGCGGCCGAGAAGGGCTCCCACGCCTTCACCCTCGAGCAGCTCGCCGACGCGCGCAAGAGCCTCGAGCTGGCCCACCAGCTCGCCGAGGGGCTCCGGGCCGACCTCGCCCACGCCCAGCAGCAGCTCGCCGACACGCTCACCCTCCAGAACGAGAAGATCGAGGACCTCCACACCACCCTCGCCGCCCTGCGCACGCAGCGGGACGACCTCCAGCGCCAGCTCCGCGAACACCAGACCGAGAACGGCCGCCTCGCGCGCGAGCAACGCGACAGCGAGGCCAGCATCGCCGCCCTCACCAAACACATCCGCGAGCTCAAGTCCGCGCCGCTCGCCGCCAATGGTGGTTCTGCCGGTGCTGCCGGTGCGCTCGAGGCCGCCCTGGCCCGGGAGCGCGAAGAGCACGCCGCCACCCGCAAGCTCCTCGCCGACCACAAGAAGAACGCCCACGAGTACCGGCTCCCCCCCCCTCCCTCTCACAAGCCCTGGTGTGTCTGCTCTGGTGGATGTTCACACGCACACACGCACACGATAGCATGCGCGTGGAGTTTTTGCGTGGGCATGTGGCGGACCTGGAGCAGCTGCACGAGGCGCAGGAGGTCATCCGGCTGTTCCTGGAGGCGCAGAAGCACCACCTGGCGTCCTCGCCCTACGCCGCCGATGCCACCTACCCGGAGGATTCCGCGGCTGCCGGTGGTTGCCCATCTCCACCACCGCCAACACCGCCAGTACGAGCGCATGAGGCCCCGCGGTACCCCCAAAACCTGCTGTCGCCTCGACTCACCAAATACCGCTCTTCTCTTCCTGCCGGCAGGCGACACCAGCGGCGCTCGCGGAATGGGAGGAGCGGTTGCCCCAGCAATCTGGGGCGTCCCTCAGAGACAAAGCGCTGCGCACCTACTGCGACGCCGTGCTCGCCTTCATCCGTCGCCCCACCTCGGCGATCACGCAACGCGAGGTTCGTCTTCTTGCCCCGTTGTGGCCACGGCTCGAGCCAACAGAAAAGCTCACGAGTTGTTGTGCCCTCGCGCAGTTGGACGAGTACGTGAGTGTCCTGGCCGCCACCCTCGAACAAGGCGAATCGCGAGAACGGCTGAAGAAGATCCACGCCAACACGCTGCTCCTCAAGCGCATCATCGCGGCCTACTACAAGGAGTTTGTCCAGCTCCCTCTTCTCCGCTAGGCCGGTGTACACATTTTGGCGTACGTACGTAACAACAAAAGCCTTTTGAGCTGCAGCAGCCAGAAGGGAAGAGGCCACCAGGGCTACAAAATGTGTGTGGGAGGCGCGTGCGTGTGTTCTGTTCTGTTCAGTTGAGTAGAGTCGAGTCGAGTCGAGTTGTGCTCGCTCATCCCTTGATGACGAGCTGCTCCTCCTTGCGGCGGTAGGCGTTGGGGGCGCGGCGCGGGGGCTTGTGTTCGAGGCCGAGGTAGTCGGACTTGTCGAGCTTGGCGGCGATGCAGGCGTCGTCGTCCTCGACGGCCACGGGCTTGCCGATCCAGGGCACGATGAGGAACTTGTAGGTGGCGAACTCGTCGTCGGGCACGGCGAGCCTCTCCTGGATGCGGCGCTTGGTGTCGGCGAAGCGCTCGTTCTTGGGGATGGCGAGGTGGAACGGGTGGCCAAAGTTGGAGACGTGCGGGTCGCGGAAGACGTGGCTGACCTGGATGGTCTTGCTCGCCGCCTTGGGGTCCTTGTTGAGGTCCTCCTCGGGCACCTCCTCGGCGCGGAGGATCGTGTACTCGGTGTAGCCCGTGGTGCGCTCCTCGGGCTTGAGCAGGCGGTAGATGCGGTGGTTCTGCACCTCGAGCAGCCGGATCTCGCCCGTGCCCGTCAGCGCCGGCCCCAGCGCCTCCTTGAGCTTGGCGATCACGTCCGAGAACAGCGACGTCTTGGGCACCAGCACCTGGTGCGTGGCCACGGGCTGCACCTTGTCGTTGAACCACTCCACCTTGAGCAGCTTGTTGTTCTCCAGCTCGGCCAGCGGCATGTCCAGCTTCTCGTAGTAGAGGATGTCCCCCAGCAGCTTCTTCGGGTTGTACGGGTTGGCCAGCATGTCCGTCAGCAGCAGCTTGGGCATCGTCTTGATCGGCTGAATGCGCGGCTTGTTGTAGATCGCCGAGTGCTGCGTGAGCCGGATCTTGCCCGCCTCGTGGCCCAGCTGCCCCGCCAGCTGACCCACCACCTCCTCGTACGTCATCTCCTTGGACAGCTCCAGCACGCACACGTCCACCGACGGCGCACCCAGGTCCCGGAACTTGACCGTCACCCTACACACCCGCCCCCCACCACACACACGACACACACGACACACACGACGACACACGACGACACACACGACGACACACACGCGGAGGTCAGAGACCAGAGACCAGAGAGAGAGAGAGAGACGGTTGGCTGCTGCCATGGCTGTGGTGCGTGGTGGTGGGTGGTACCGGTTGAGCATCCAGGCGTAGTGGGCGGGGGCAAGGGGCCGCGGCAGGGTGGCGTTGCCGGGGGGCGGCTTCTGGACGCAGATGATGTCGCCGTTGGCCAGCTCGGCCTCGGCGAAGGAGTCCGTGCCCTTGAGCGGCTCCACCATGGTGGGCTTGATCTCCTCGAACAAGAGCAGCTCCTGGTGGCGGCGGCGGCGGCGGAAGGGCGGTGAGCAAAAAGCAGGGGAGGGGTGCCGGTGCCACAAGCAAGGAGGTCCTTTGGTGGAGGGGGGGAGGGGGGGGCACCTGGTCGGAAGGGAAGCCGAGGAGCTGGTTGAGGTGGGGAATGACGGAGCCGATCTTGTCGGAGACCTTGACGAACTTGTAGCACACGAGACGCAGGAGCTGCGCCTCCGGGTCGTAGTACTTGAAGAACATGATGGCGTCGTCGTCCGTGTGGGGCGCAAACAACTTGGCCTCGTCGGTCTCGCCCTCCGGCGCCTGGTGGGGGGGGGGCAATACATAAATCATCGCACGCACACGTGTCAGTACGTCCGAGCGGGGAAACGCCGGCTATCGACCGTCATCATCGTCGTCATCATCATCATCATCATCATCATCGCTGATCGATCGAGTGGGAGGAGGAGGAGGAGGAGGAGTGGGGAGGGGTGGGGGAGGGAGTAGGAGGGTGTGGTACCGTGGAGGCCTCGAGGAAGACCTTGATGTCGAGGGCGCCTCGCTTGACGAGCTTCTCGAGTGGCGTGTCCTCCTCCTTGGGCGTGTAGGGCTCGTCGGGGCGGACGGTGCGGTTGCGGCGGGCCGGGCACGTCCAGTAGCGCTGCCGCGCGGCCGGGATCCCAAACTCTTCGGCGGCGACGGCGCGGAACTCGCGCAGGGTGGAGGTCTTCTTGACCTTGAACTCCTTGGCCTGCTCAAAGTCGCACAGGTCGGCGTCGTGGGACTGCTCAAAGTCGCGCAGGGTGGCCACGCGGAGCTTGAGGTACAGGTGCGCCTCGGCCAGCTCCTTCTTCTTGGCCGCCTTCTCCGCCTCCTCCTGCTCGAAGCGCTCCTCCAGGTGCTTGGGGATCTCCTCCCGATCCACCGGGCGCAGGATCTGCTCCCGCTCTGCACACGACACACGACACGACACGACACGACACGCACGCCACCGGGGTCCACGGATGAGTGGAGCGGGGGAGGAGAAGGCGGGTGAAAAGGAGAGGAGTAGTTGGTGGTGGTGGTGGTACACAGACGTGACCAGCACCAGCCAGCAGCCACCACCAGCCACCACCAACGCGCGGGGGGCGGGGGGGTGTACCGTCGTCGCGTATGTAGAGGAGCATGTAGGCGTTGGCGGACCGCGGGTAGGTGGTGGTGATGGGCTTGCCCAGGGCGTTGCGCACGGTGCGCGTGATGTCGCCGCCAAAGTTGCCCTCGAACACGTCCTTCTTGCGCGCCTTGGTCACTCGCTCGTCGTCGAACTTGAACCACTGCATCTTGGTGGTGGGCCGCACGTAGGCGTAGTAGTGCCCGCCGTGCACGTCGCCGCTGTGCACCAGCACTCTGTAGCCGCCCGCGAGGGTCAGACCGATCTGCTACACCCACCCCCCCCCCGTGGGGAGAGAAGAGAGAGAGAGAAAGAGGGAGCGCGCTGTCGGGTCACCGTACGCATAGAGGCGGTAGAGGGGCTTGATGCTCACGTCGGCGTCGGCGGCCATGTACTTGCGCATGTTGAGCGTAGGCGGGAATTCGTACAGGTCGTTGATCTGCACCCACGTGGGCGGCCAACCGCACGCACGCCCAAGAAGAGAGAGAGAGAGAGGTCAGCTGTGAGGGGCGAGGGACCCCAAGGAGCCGGCCACCAACAGGAGGCGGCGGCGGCGGCGGCGGCGGCGCACCTTGAAGTTGCGGTCCCGCTGGAAGTCGTACACGAACCTCTTCAGGTGCAGCTCCAGGACCGGAGGCAGCGATTGGAAGAAGCAGCCTTTGTTGGCGTCCTACACACGCACACGCGCGCGCGCGCCAACACAGCCAGCGTGGCGTAAGGACTCGTCACGGCACACGGCACACGGCACACGGCACACGGCACACGGCACACGGCACACGGCACACGGCACACGGCACACATACCAACACGCGTGTGTGCATGGCGTCTTGAGAGAAGGGTGGCGTACCTGGAGGCCGTGACTGCCGGCGTCGTACTTGTTGTCGCCGCTGAGGGTTTCAACGGCGCAGTAGTGCTGCAGGGAGGCGTGCACGTCCTTCATCCCCTTCACGTCCAGCGAGATGTCTGGGGTCGTCCGACACACGTGGATCGCCGGTGGTGAGTGGCGCGGGGGCACAGAAAACGCCAGGCAACAACGCGATGGCAATCCACCCCACACCAAGACACGACACACACGACACACACGACACACACATCTTGGGAGTATAGAATCAAAAATAGATCCACGTCGAGAGGTAGAGAGTACCGTAGAAGGTTTCGACGCGAGAGGATTCGTAGGCGACGTTGATGCACTTGATGTAGTTGTAGATCTTGCCGCGGAACAGCTTCTCGACAATGCCCTCGGACAGGGTGCCCTTCATCTTCTCCTCGAGGTTGTCACAGAATACTCGGTTGAGCTCCTGCACGTCGTGCTGCACGAACGAGTCCCTGTTCACCGCCAGCGACACCAGCCACCACCAGCATCAGCAGCAGCATCAGCATCAGCATCAGCATCGGGCACTGCTGACCGCCAACACCCGGCATGCCTGCTGCTGCTGCTGCTGGCCGAGTGCTGGGCGGGCGTAAAGGAAGGGAAGGGAGCGGGGGGCCTACCGTCGATTCCAGCCGAAGGAGGCCGTGAGCTCTTTGGTGCCGACGGCTCGCGGCCCGAACTGGACGCGGTAGAAGACGCGCTGGAGGGCGAGGGGGATGGACTTGGTGGGGAGATCGTTTTGCGTGGGCAGCTGGTAGACGGCCCGCCGGAACGTCCCGATGTGGTAGAGCGCCTGGAGCAAGCTGTTCATGTAGCACGTCGCTCCCTGGTTCTTCAGCCCCACGTAGCCCGTCTCCTTCCTCGAATCCCAGCTGCTCATCCCGCCGCCGCCGCCGCCGCCGCCGCCACGTGAGTGAGTGAGTGAGTGAGTGAGTGAAGATTGGCGGTGGTGGCGGCGGTGGTGGAGCGGAGCGAGGTCCTTACTTGGCCCAGGATACCCAGTCGCGGCCGGAGGAGTAGCTGGCGTATTTCTTGACCTCGATCTCCACGTTGATGTGGAGGGTGTCGTCGACCAGGTAGCCGGGCTCCCGCAACTCGGCATAGCCAATCATCCCATTGAATCCCCAGTCCATCTCTCTGCGCACGTGCGCAAAGCAGCGACGCACCCCACCACCAGCCACCAGCCACCAGCCACCACCACCACCAACGAAGACGACGACCACGTTAGGACGTCAGCAGGCCCGCAGGCAGGCGTGACGCACGTGCAACACATGCAAGGACCCGCAGAGCATTATTGGGGCGGACAACGGCGCCGTTGAAGAGAAGGAGAGAAGGAGAGAAGGAGATTGGTGGGTGGGTGGGGGGGGTTCGTACTGGGCGCGGAAGGTGTGCAGCTCGGCCTTGCTCACCGTCTTGTTGGCGTCCTGCAGCACGTGGCGGTGGGTGGTGGGTGGTGCGTTTTAAAAAAAAATGACAAAAAAATACCAAGCAACGCACAGCGAGCACCGGTGTGCGTGCCCAAGTAAGTAGCTGGGAGGGCCAAAGGCACAAAAGGGGGGGGGTAGTGGTGGGGGCACCTTGTGGTTGATGATGGAGATGGTGAAGTTGGCGGTGCGCATCCAGTCGGGGGGCTGGGTTTTGGCGTCAGCGACGGCCAGATAAACGGCAAGGGAGTCGTTATACTGCGGGTGGACAGGATTGCCTCGCGGATACATGAGCATGTACCTGTTGTGGCAGACAACCGATTCAGCGTACGGCTCACCACACACCGCAGGGGGGGGGGTAAATGACTGAATTTGAGGATGCCCCAGGCTGCCGGTGGTGTGGCACCAGCCGAGGAGCGTGTCAAGTGTACCAGGGGTGCCACCGGCCTTGAAGACTTCGGAAGTCTGTTTGCCCGCAGCTTGGAGAACTTGGCGACCTGCCAGGTGTAGTGGCCCGTGTTCTCCTCTGCTGCTTTTCCTTTTTTTTTTTCTTCCTCTTCCTCTTCCTCCTCCTCTTCGTCTTCATCTTTGGGCTCATCCTTGGCGGGCACGTCCTCTGCCTTGGGGGATTGGCGCCCATTCAGTTCGGTCTTGGCCGCACCCTCGGCCTCCAGCTTGGGGCTGCCCTTGTTGGCATCTTCTTCGTTCTCCTTCTTGGGTTGCCCCTTCTTCTTTCGTCCAAAACCCAGCATGGTTGTTGTTGTCGTCGCCGCTGCTCTTGGCCTTTGCAACTGGAAAAGCTGTTTGTGTGACCCGCGAGGCAAGTCGCTGCTCTTCCGCCCCAAATCTTTTCGCTGAGCCTCAATTCAGGGCTTTTCACCTGCTAATTTTTTATTATTTATTTATAACTGTATTATTTCTTTATTTTCTTTTGGTTTTAAAAGAAAAGAAGAAAACGACCACAGTGTGCCGGCTGAAGACACAGAACCAACAGCCACAGCGACGACAGCAACGTTGTCGTGGTTGAAACCAACCGCCCATGGGTGCCGGCGGTGGTGGTGGTGGTGGTGGCTGGTACGCGGCCACGCTGGAGGTGATGGACGGGCACTTCGTGGCGGGGTTTATCGCGGGCGTGTGCACCACCCTGGCGGCGGTTCTCGTGCTCTCCCTGCTCGTGGTGGTCGTGCGTCGTCTGCTGGCCCTGCGCTCAAGGTCGTGGCCGGCAGGGCGCGCCACCGGCGGTGGCGGCGGGTATCGACCCGTCGCCCGCCCATTCGGCGAGGACGACGAGGCGCCCCTCTCCCGCGAACTCACCGACCTCACGACGCACCGCCACCAATCGGGCAACAGTGGCATCTTCGACGACAACGGCGACGACTACCGTCGGGGCAGCCAAGAACCGCACGAGCCCAAGCGCCAGCAGCGGGCCGATAGAACAGACTCGCTTCCTTTCGTGCGCCCTCTCTTCCCACCTCATCCTCTCGCCCCGGCAGCCCAACTCGTGGCCTTTTCAGCTCTAACTAAGGGCGGTGGCTGGCTGGCTGGCTGGCTGGTGGTGTCGTTGGTCGTGTCGTGTCGTGTCGTGTGTGGTGGTGCGTGGTGGTCCTATGCTCCACATCGACGCTTGCCGGTACCGGCGATACAGTGGGACCAGCTCTGTGAGCTGCCCGTCATCGAGCCCGACCACTTTCAGCAGCTGTGGACCGACACCGACCTGCGGTGTGTACCTCCCTCCTCGACTGGACGATGGGGGTGAGGGCGGGGGTGGGGAGGGGGCACGCCCTCGGGTCGGTGGCCCGTCCGTTTGCTGACCCATGGCGCTTCTCCCTTCTCCCATCATCGCTCGGTCCCTGCTGCTGCTGCTGCTGCTGCTGCTGCTACCAGAGAGATCATCGAACTACGCCTGCGGCCAGGTGCGAGCTGCCTCCTCCCGCGCAACGCCTCTCTATCTCTAGTCACGTGTGTGAATCGTGCGCCACCCTTAGCGGGCCGGTGGTGTGTGTCGTTTGCCGCGTGTGACTGACGGCAGCCTCGCGCTTTGGCTTGGTACCACGACCAGGGGTGGACGTGGAGAAGTTGTTGGCCCTCCACCGAGTTGCATGCATTGCCTCGGGTCAGGTGGGCAGCCAGAGCAAGTATTACTTCTTTGCACAGAAGGTAATCCCTTGCCAACGATGCATCGCCGCACACGCGCACACGTTCTTACGTAGGTGCGTTGCTGTCATGTCCCCGCAGGGTGACCTGGGGTTCTTGGTCGAGCTCTTGGTATCCTCTACCAGCCACGAGATGACGGCCAAGGTCAAGTGCGAAGACGACGACGCTGCGCGCCTGTTTGTGCGCCACCTTCGGTCGCTGCTGCAGCGGTGAGCCACCGGTGGTGCAAAAAGAAAAAAATTAAAAGAAAATGACCAGCCGTGGCGGTGCTGACGTCAGCAGCGCGCAAGAAGGAGGCCTTCTTTTCTCACGTTTTCGAGAGAGGCGCACGCTCGGCTGCCGTGGCTGGAGGTCCTCTACACCCTCTCCGTCGTTAACTGGATCTGCCCTCTTTTTCGAGCGGAGGAGGTCGTCATGTCAATGGCCAACAAAGACTCGCGAGGGGGCTATGAGGTGTTGGGGCTCACGCACAAGGCGGATGATGAGGAGGTGAAGGCAGCCTACCGCCGTTTGGCCATGAAGTGGCACCCCGACAAGAACCCCAGCCCTGACGCCAACGCCAAGTTCCAAGTGCTTTGCCCCTCCTCCTCCAATCTTTTCCTTTCCGCAATCCTCTACCTTGGACGCCAAGTGTGGTCCACACGTGCGCGCGGAGCTCAAGTATGCTGACTGGTCGCTGCTGCGTCTTGTTGTTGGTGTTGTTGTGGGGGGGGGTTCTACCCGTGGAGGAAATCTCTTATGCCTATCGGCGGCTCACGAGTGGCTTGGTGCTCTCCTCCTCCCTCCTCATGTCTTCTTCGTTGCGTGTGTCTAACGTGGTGGTGTGCCACTCGCGCGCGCGCGCGCTCTCTCTCTATCTCTGCCAGGGCGACGGCGATGAGGATGACGACGACGTGTCTGCCGAGGAGGTCTTCCTCTCAGTGTTCGGCCCGCTCTTTCGGTTTGGTGCGGACCCTCTTCTTCTCTCGGTGTTGGTCTTGGCCCAGCGTGCACGTGGTACGCTCACCGTGGTGGTGGTGGGCGGTACGCGTTACACGACACACAACACACACACGACACACGACACACAGGGCGAAGCAAGAATTCGCGGGTGGTGTTCAACATGGCCGACTTCGTGTGTCCGCACCACCGCGAGTTCGCGTCGCGCTTCTTCGATTCCTCGTCCGACTCAGAGTGGGACAGCGATGACTCCTACTACGACTACGATACCGACGAAGACGACGACAGCGACACCGTCGCCACCGCCGTCGCTACCACCGCCGCGGTCGGAACTCCAGCGCCTGGCGCTCCGCCAGGCCAGGGCGACTTCTTCTACTCGTTCCACTCCCACGCCCATCCCCATCCCCATCCCCATCCCCATCCCCATCCCCATCCCCAGGCACAAAAGCACGCCAAGCCCAAGCAACCGGGTGCGCCACCCCTGTCCTATGCCGCGCGCGTGCCGGCGCACCACTCACTTTCCGGACATCGCGTGGTGGCGGCAAAGCGCAGGCGTACCAGATCGTCCGACGGCTCCTCGCCTCACGGATGCTACCAAGGCCTCGCTCAAAGTGACCTGGGACGCCCCCAGCCCAAATGGCTCGCCCATCGTGCATTACAACCTGGAGATGGACGCTGGATCCGTGGCTGGCGCGAGCTTCCACGAGATCTACAAAGGTGGGTAGCCTCCCCCCCCCGCATCACCCCCCAATGCACTCACATGGCTCCTTTCTTCACTCGGAGCCGGCCTCTAAGATTAGTATCCATCCATCCACCCACCCACCCACCCACCCACCCATCTATCTATGCCCGTGGCGCGTCGGCCAGGTAAAAAGCGGACCTTCGAAGTCAAGCGCCTGTTGCCCGGCACCACCTACCACTTTCTCGTGCGGGCGACCAACAAGTTAGGCTCCGGGGGCTACAGCCGCGTGGCGTCCTTTTCCACCCAGGGCACTGCCCTCCCCTCCGGCTCCGCAGGTGCGCGCCCTTCCCGCCGCCGCCGCCGCCCCAACTTTCCTTTCTCTTCTCTTCTCTTCTCTTCTCTCTCTTCTCTCTCTCTCTCTCTTCTCTCTCTTCTCTTCTCTTCTCTTCTCTTCCTCCGCTGGTGGAGGGGGAAGGTGCTTCAGTGTGTGTCCACTCACGCGCTCGCTCACTCGCTCACTCTTGGCTCCTCTTCCTAAAACAAAGCCGCGAGGGGTCACGCAGATGGGAATGGCAACGCGGGGGCTACCAAGAGCAGCAAGAAAACGCGAAGAAACAAAAAGAAGAAGGGCGCCGATGGACTGGTCGACGCTCACCGACCAGCTGCTGCTGCTGCTGCTGCTGTTTCCCCCGTGGAGGAGGACGAGGCGGAGGCGGAAGAGGCGGAAGATGTCGAGGCGGCGGCGGAGGAGAAGGCAGTGGTGAACGAGGACGAAGACGACGCAGAGAAAAAGGACGAGGAAGAAGAGGAAGAGGCAGGAGAGAGTCCTCATGCACAGCAGCGGAAGGGCGAAGATGGGGACGGTGTCGGTAACGCAGGGAGGGAACGCGGACAAGCCGGAGGAGGAGGAGGCAAAGGCAACAGCAACAGCAACAGCGCCGCCAACCAGCGCCACCACCACCACCAGCAGCAGCACGCCCACACACGCGGGCCAGCGCCGCAACCAAACGCGCGAAGAGACGACGACGACAGGCGAAAGCCCGCGCCCTCCGCCAAAGCCAAGACCGCCTCCGCCGTGCGCGCAACAAAGCAGCAGCCCGCCCCCGCCAATGACAAGGCCCTTGCCGCCCCACCACCCTCCTCCGAGGTACGGCCATCGACCGCGACCACCGCGACGAGTACGAGCACGAGCAGCGCCGGAGCCAGGAGCCAGCCGGGCGACGAGGGTGCTCTGCCAGCCCCACGCAGCAAGCCCCTGCCGCAGAAGCAGCAGAAGCAACAGCAGCAGCAGCAGCAGCAACAGCCCCAACCGCAGCAGCGGCAGCTGCGTGTGGTCTCCGCTCCTGAGCCGCAGCCGCAGCGCGCGGAGCGGTCCGCCAACGGCGGAGGGGACGGGTTGCGGTCGCCGGGCAGGCGGGGAGGAGGAAGCGGCGCGTCACCGCCCCGCAGCAGCAGCGGCAGCCGCCACAATCACGAGGCCCACGTGCCGGCGGACCTGGCCACGGCGCGGGCAGCGGAGGAATCTGCGCGACGGGGAGATGTGCCCCAACAACAGACGTTCGGCGCGGCGGGGGGTAGCGCCGCCCAGCCGGGGCTCGTCCCGATGCACCTGCAGCAGGTGCGCGATGGCGGCGGCGGCCACGAGGTAGTAGTCAAGGACGACGCACGCGTGGTCAAGATGCGAGGGCTGCCCTGGGAAGTCACGCCCGAAGACATCGCCCGCTTCTTCGCCACCCTCGACATCGCACCGGAAGGGGTCTCCATTGCCCTCAACTTTGATGGCCGCCCGACAGGCGACGGATTTGTGTGCTTCGCGAGCGCCGACCACGCCACCCTCGCCCTCCAACGGTAGGATACCCTCCACCCCCCCCCCTCCACACACGCGGGTGCGCGTCCGCCCACTGCTGGGTCTGTGTTGCTGTTGCTATTCTTACCTGGCCTGCTGGGCGGTGTTGTGGGGGGCAATGTCATGCCATGCGTCACAGACACATGAACTACATGGGGCGGCGCTACATATGCGTAGAACGAAGCAGCCAGCAGGCGCTCAGCGCCTCCGTTCTCTTTGCCAAAACCATCGTGGAGCGCAAACGGGCCATGGCCGTCCTCCCCAACAACACTCCAGGCACCCCCTCCCCCCTAACTACTCCTCCTACTCCTCCTACTCTATTCCATTCCATCCTGGTAGCTCCCGTCATGCGCACGTGGCGGCGGCTGCTGCTGCCTCCTGAGAATCGGCGCTGGCTAGACCGATAGCGAGACCTGGCAAGCTAACTTCGTCCCCCCCTGTTCTGGCAGGCGGAGCTGGTTCAGCGGCCCAGCATGTGGCCGTTCCTGTGGAGGGCCAGGCCCCTGCGCCGGCGGGTCCCTCCTCTGGGAAAGTCAGGCCTGCCTCAGCCCTCGAACCCTCCTCCGAGTATTCCTCCCCCTCCCCCTCCAATCCCAACCACCAACGATCCTCCCCGCGTCGTCGTCGTCGTCGTCGTCGGTCGGGGGGGGGACCGGGCACGCGACAGACGGGACTAGCGCATCCTCACTCTTCTTTCCTCTTGCGCCTCTCTTGCGCGCGTCTACTAAGGGGAGCGATGCGACGTGCGAGTGATCTGCTGCTGCTGCTCGACATGGGCTTCGGCGAGCTGGAGGCTTCTGACGCGCTTGGCCGCGACCAGAGCATTGAGCTCACCGTGGAAGCCCTCCTCCACCAACGCGCGACCCGAGCCCTCTCTCGGTACGCCCAGGCAGCTTAGAGGCGGATGTGCCCCCGCGTACGCGAACTAAGAGGCGTCAAATGGTGGCGCTGCGCAGAGGCGAGGCGGGCGGGTGGGGAACGATGCGCGTGGAGGAGCACCCCTACCACCACGCCGGAAGCTTCCGCCCTCGGGGGCCGTCTCTGGCGGAGGGCCACGCGGAGGAGCGAGAGGAGCAAGAGGAGCGAGAAGGCCCCGCCAATGCCGACGCCGACGCCGCCCTTGTTCCACTGGGCAGCAATGGCGACAGCGGCGGCGCCAAGCCTCTATCCGCCTCTCTGGTGGTCACCAGCCTGCGCTCCGAGCCCGGTTTTCCGGCAGCGCTGCCCGCTTCTGCGCGTACCGCTACCCTCATCCCCAACAATCTCCTCCTACCTGTAACACACTCAGCCCACCCGAGCTGCCGGCTGACCTGACTCGTGTCGTGTGTGCCGTGGTGTGTGCCGTGGTGTGTGCGTGCGCGTGTGCGTGTGCCGTGGTGTGTGCGTGTGCGTGTGTCGCGTGCAGTAGTGGGCGCAGTAGACCGGGAGAAGACGCTCTCGTCCTCGCTGTGGATCGGGAACGTGAGCAGCAAGGTGCGGGAGGACGAGCTGCGCTCCCTCTTTTCGCCCTTCGGCGAAATCGTGAGCCTCAAAATCCTACGCCGCTCGCAATGCGCCTTCGTCAACTATTCCTCCCCGGCCGCTGCCACCGCGGCCAAACGCCACGTGCAGGTGCCCCTGCCGTGCCCTGACACGACACTCACGACACACGGCGGGTAATATATATAACACTGTCTTGGTGCGTCATACCCACGTACAGGGCAAGTTGGTCAAGGACATGCGCCTTGAGATCAACTTCTCCAAGCCGCCCAAGGCTCAGCGCACCGACCTCCCGCCTCTTCCCCTCGGGGGAGCTGCGGGGCCTCTGGCGCCGGGCTCTTCGGTCCTCCTGCATCGACCGCCTCCTGCTGCTACCGCCGCCCGTACGCTTCTCCTCTTTTTTCCCTCTTTGTCAATTTTTTCTCTTTTGCTTTCTCTTTTTTTTTGTTTTTCCTTTCCGGCGCTCACGACGTGGAGCGTCACTGTTTGGTTTGTTTGGTGGCACGCACACTCACACGCACTCACTACATGGGCATTCCATGCAGCAGCCCCGACTCGCCACCGCATCACCGGCGGCGGGGCCAGTCCCGAGACGGGTTATCCCTCCTCCTCCTCCGCTCGGTCAGCAGGCGGCGGGATCCTCGCGGGATCCGCGAAGCAGCTTACCAAGCACCAAGCCACCGCCGTAGTGGCGGCGAGCCACCGGGATGGGCACCACCAGGCGGAGGAGGCGCTGGGCCCCTCTTCGGCGCCGGATGCGCCCCTGGCCGGTCCGAAGCGCGTACGGCCGGATGTCCGCTCCACGAGCAGCAGCAGCAGCAGCAGCAGCAGCAGCGTGCCCACGAGTTACCTGGCCGCCACCACCAATCAAAACATGCCCGCCGCCGCCGCCGCCTCCTCCACCACAGCCGTGGTACACCTGCCTCTCGAGAGCCCCCTCTCTTTCCTCGTGCTCACCTCGCCCGTCCGTCTTCAGTCCCGATTCTCGTCTCCGCCCTTCAGCAGCGCGCTGCCGCCGGCTCTGATCATCCCCAATTTCGTATGGCCGCCGCTACCACCGCGCACACGCGCACAACCGCACATTATATACACTACTGTACCCACAGCGCACACCTCACCTTTGTTGCTGGTCTCACGGGATCTGCCAGCAGGGCGGAGCTGCGGCTGGACCGACGAGCCAGGCCGAAGCCACGTCTCCGGGCTCGCACCCGGCGGCCACGCCTCCTCCCTGGCTGGCAGCAGCTGCAGCTGCTGCTGCGGGAGGTGGAGATGGGGGTGGTGGTGGTGGTGGACTGACGGCCAGCCCCGCCCTTCAGCTCTTCTTCGACCCCACGGCTGCTGCCTCACCCGCTGCTTTTCTGTTCCCGCCGACTACTCCCGCGGCCCTTCCGATGATGCACCACCACATTGTATCTCTCGCAGCTCCACTCCCCATTATTATCGGCTGTGGCGTCATTTCCTCACCACCAGCCACCACCACCACCACCACCTCCACCACCTCTTGGCGCGTCGGCAGGGCACCACCACCGGTGGCATGGCACGCGAGGAGATGGCGTCGAGCGTCGAGCATGAGGAGCAGCCCGGCACGATGGGCAGCGGCGGAGGCATCTACAGCCCCTTTGGCGAGGCCTACCTGGGCGTGTACCGGGTCCACCCGTATCCCCAGCACCACCACGACCCCCACGACGAGGAGGACGAAGAGGATGAGCAGCAACAACCACTTCACCTCGACCACCACCACGACCACCACCACGACCACGACCACCACCACCATCAGCAGCCGCAGCAGGCACCCGAGGCAGATGGTGCCATCTCCACCCCCACCCACCCCCCACCCCCACCCGCGTTCTCACACGACACGACACGACACACGCGAACGAATTCCCCTTCTTGGCAGGGCAAGCAGAGGAGCGTCCGCTGCTGGTGGAGCCCGATCTCAGTGGCTCTCCGTCGGCGTACGGCCTCTTCGGGTGGCAGCCGACAGGCTTCGACTCGGGCGGCGGCGGCGGCGGGCACCTGTCCACCAGCATCTGGAGCTATTCCTCCTTCGGCCCGCCCCTGCAGCCCCCAGCAGCAGCGGCAGCCGCCCTCGCACCCTCGCCGCACCATCGGCAGCAGCAGCAGCAGGCCTCTCCCTCCTCCGACAGCTTCCACCACCACCAGCAGCAGCAGCAGCACCAGCAGCACCAGCAGGGGGCTGCCGCCCTCCCTTTTGGAGGACACACGGCTCCTCCTCCGCCCTACACGGCTTTCTACAACGTAGCCCCGCCCCCCTACCACCCCCACCACTCGCAGCAGCAGCCGTAGCAGGCGGGCAGCCCAAACGCTAACACAGCAGCCCCCCCTCGTGTACAGCCACCCCCACACAACACCCACGCAAAGGACATAAATAATAATAATGTTGCTTCCCTTGGGAAGGGGCACAGCGTTGAGCGACTGTTTTTCTGATTCCATCTTCTGAGATGCACGGCGGGCAGCAGCACCGCCCACACGGACGTGTGGGAGAAGGGGTGGCGGCGTTGGAGAGGCTGGGGCGGCTGGGGGTGCACCAATCCTCCCTCTCCCCTCGCATTGCGGCGCTCCTTCGCGTAGACGAGGAGGACAGGGGACAAGTCGGCCAGCAGCAGCAGCAGCCACCGCAGCAGATGGAGGACCCCGGCGGCGACGAAGAGCGCCTCTACGATACCTACTTCCAAGTGGTGGAGGAGGGCAAGCAGGACGAAGACGGCGGCGGCGGCAGCAGCAGCAGCAGCATGATGAGGGGGTTGCAGGGGGTGCCCCTCCTCAACTGGGGCTGGTGGCGCAAGCGCCGCTTCCTCTCCGTCGAGGACGAGGAGCGCGTGGCCCGCTGCGCCGCACAGCGGGAGCGCAAGAGCGTGACGTGGGTGGAAACCTACTTCCACGAGTTCGCCCTCGCCGCCCACCACGTCAAGCGAGCGGCCCTCGTCTTGCACCGCCGCCTCGGCTGTGCCACCACCCTTCAGCAGCAGCCGCAGCCGCCATCCACAAGCAACCAAGGGCACCAGCCGCCACCGCCACCGCTGCGGCAGGAGGGCTGCAGCCGCGCCCTGCTTCTGCCGCACCTCCGCTGGCTCAGGCCCTGCGATCCCGTACGACGCCCCCCCCCCCGGTCTCTCCTCCAAGTCGTGATGCTCGAACTTAGCCATTTATATATTTATATATTTATATATATATATCCCCTTGGACCCTGCCGTGTGTCGTGCTGTGCTGTGCTCGTGCTCGTGCTGTGTTGTGCTCGTGCTTGGCAGGAGTGGGTGGATCAGCTGTGGATCGAGGTCCGGCGATCTCCGCTGGTGGGGAGCAGCATGCTAGTGACCTATCTGGAGAAGGCCCTGGGCGACCTGCGTACGTGGGACCTGCGGCGGCGGCTGCTGCTGCTCCCTTGTCGACATGATGATTGGGCACGGCGAAACTACTCATCGGCACGCACGCTGCTGTTTTGGGGGGGTGGGGGGGGGCTATCACCACCAGTATGCTGGAAGACGGAGGGGCGGCAACGGGTGCCGTGCCGCATCAACGACCTCCTCGGGGAGCCCGCGCTCCAAGACCTCTTGGGTCCCGATGCCGTACTCCCTCTCCTCCTCCTCTTCCTCTCCCTCACCTGTCTCCGCGCAATCGTCGTCGTCGTCGTTGCTGGTGGCTGGTGGCTGGTGGTGATGGTCCCTTCTTTCAAGGTGTTCGTGGTGCGGTGTCTGGTGGGTCCGCCCAATGGCCTCAACATCCGGAACCTCCTGTGGCACGGATTCCTCGACAACGAACAGCTCCACCCGGCCCTCCTGGGTATTACTCCCCCCTTCCCCCCCTTCCCCTCCCTTGTTGGGGGGGGGCTGGATGATCCTTCGCGACTGCCACCGGCGCTGAATGGTCAGGCCTCGTGGTGGCGGCGGCGGCGGTGGCTGGTGGCTGGGGGCTGGGGGCTGGTGGCTGGGGGCTGGTGCAGATTTTCTGATGGTGTTGGTGGCGAGCCTTGGCACCCTGCTCGGCGAAGCCCAGCTGATGGCGTTCAGCGCCTGGGGGGAAGCACTCGACGGCGGACAGGAGCCTCTCGAAGCAGTCGCGCCTGCGGACACTATGGCTGCTCCCTCCAGCAGCGAGAGCACGCGCAGGGCCAGGCACGTGTAACTCTCCACACAGTAGGCTCGTGCTGTCTTGCGGGACGAGCGTGTCTGTGTTGCCCAAGTTGTCTGTGTGGCCGCGATGGCACGACTGACGTCCGCTCCAGGAAAAGCAGGGGCGGCAAGGGCGGCACCGGCAGTCATCTACGCCGGTTGGAGGCCATGGACCGGCGCTTTGCTTCCGATTTCGGCGGGTGGGCGCCTGCTGACATATTTCTTCCCGGTACACGTTCCTCCCCACCACTGACCACCCACCGCGTGTTTCACAAGACCTTTTCCCTCACGCCGGTGTGCGACCCGCCGCCACCGCCGCCGCCACCGCCGCCGCCTCCGCCGCCGCCACCACCACGGTCGGCAGATGGTGGCGGCAGTTCTCGGAGCGCTTACGAAGAGACCCGCAGATTGTTCGCCAGGTACCCGTTGCCCCTGCTCGGGAGGGCATGCGGAGCTGACGGATGGATATCTATATATATACATATAGAAATACACCACACACACACACACACACACAACACACAACACACAACACACAACACACGTTGAATTTGTCCCACCGCCTCACAATGATGCTGCACCCGCGGGCCTTGGCAGGAGCCACTTCGTGTTGCCCCAGAGGGTTGCCCCCTGGGTCGAGGCGCTGCAGGTCTGGATGGGCATCGAACTAGCAGCAGCAGCAGCAGCAGCAGCACGAGACGAGCCTGTGGGCCTTACCCGGTGCGAACCCTCTTCGCACTCCCCTCCCTCTCCCTTGCCCGACGAAGCAACCTTGGCCGCTTTCCTGTCTGCCAGACAGTGGCGAGGGCCTCCTCGTGGATGTGCCGCGTGTGTTGTGTGTTTTGCGACGCTCACCTCCCTCTTCCGTTCCGGGGTCCACGTGCAGTGAGAGGGACCGAGAGGAGTACCGCTGTCTCTTGGTGATGCTTCCGCAATTGGAGCACAGCCTGCGTCGGGTGTTTGTCGCTGTCAACGAGTTCGCCGAGGAGCGGCTGCTCACAGCAGGTACCCCCCTCCCCGCCGCCGCCGCCGCCGCCGCCTTGCTGCTGATCGTCGCGGACGCACTACGCTGCTCACTTTTTTCCCCCCTATTCTTTCGTCGGCACGCCCAGAGGCGGCTGTGTACTACACAACGCTCGACATCATGACTGCCCAGAGGCACGACCCCGAGGCCTACGCCGAAGGCGAGAACTACGTCACGTACGTCTATCTAATCTATCTAATCTATCTAATCTATCTAATCTATCTAATCTATCTAATCTATCTATCTATCTATCTATCTATCTGTGACTTATGCACCCCCTCCCCTCTTCGTCTTTGCTGGGCGCCCTTCCCCAATCCCCCCCGAGGCTGACAACTATCTCATGGTGGGTACGGGGACTCTGGCGTGTGCTCTCAGGGGCGACGCCCACGGTCCTCTCAATCGGCTGCCGCTTGAGTTGGGGCAGCCCATGATGCACCTCCTGCGTGATCTTAATGACTGGTTTGCTGGCCCTCGCCTGCGCATTAAGGTAGAAATCCCCCCTTAATGCGAAAGCGGTCAGCCGCAGCTGGCGTGCGTGCGTTCGTGCGCACTAACGGAACTGTGTGTGTGTGTCGTGTGTCGTGTGTTGTGTGTGTGTGTGTGTCGTGTGTGTGCGCCGGGTGCGTGTGTGCGTGTGTGTCGTGTGTGTCGTGTGCAGGTTTCTCACGGCTTGGTAGCTCGCAGTAGCATTCCCCGCGCCACCACCGTACGGTGCACCGTAGGACTTGGCAAGTCTCACGGCAGGAGCGTGAACTAACTGGAGATGGTGGCTGGTGGCGTGATCGGGCGCAGGACCTGATCATGGTGGCCGCCATTGCCCTGTGCGCACGCTACGACCCGTGTCCCGCCATGCAAGGCACCTCCGCCCTTCTCGAGCGCCGGTGGTTGGCTGGTGGTGTGGGGTGCGGTGCGGAAGGACGGAACAGGGCCAGCTGACGTGATGACCACCACGACCACGACGACCACCACGACCACCACCACCACCACCACGACCACGACCACCACCACCACCACCACGACGCCGTATGGGGGGGGGGGAGGATTGGGGGTTGGCAGGTCCCTTTGTGAGCCGATGCGTCGAGTACGTGGAGGCCTATCGCCCCTACTACCATCCGGTTTCCATTTTGCAGCGGCGCATTTCTGGCTGCCTCGAGGCGTGGGGCCGCCATCACCGCCTCAGCATCGCCGACAGCGGCGAACTGGGCGGCCCTGCCTCCCCGGATGCCCCGTGCGACGTCGAGGCCGACGAGTCTGCTCTCCGCTCGCTGATCTCTGCCGTTTCTACCCACCTGGAAACCCTCTACGGCCACCCGCCTCTCTTCATCTCGCCCGACGCGGACCAAGCCCCCCGCCAGCTGCTGCCCGATGATCCTCACTTTGGCGCCTTCGGCCTGACCAAAAGGTTCGCCTCCCACCCCCCACCCCTCTCCCCCTTCCCTCCCCTCCAGCCAGCGCCTCCCACTCCACACGGGTGAACTTGCGCCTGACTCGGTTGACCGCACGCACGCACGCAATACAGGGTGTTCTGCAGCAGACACGAAGAAAGCGTCACGGCGCTCCTCACGGACGTCGTGGGTCTTGTTCGGGAGATCCTGGCTGAGGTGCGTCCCCACCCAGCCACTACTCCTTGCTTGCTTGATTAATTGTGCGGTGTGTTGTGTGCGGTGTGTTGCTGTTGGGTCGTGCGTGTCCCGGGGGGGAAGGGGGGTTGTTGGCGTGGTGCGGCTCATCTCACCGAACCGCGGGTGCGTGCACCAGGTGAGCGTGCGGTACGAGGCGTTGGGGAAGCTCGTGGCGGAGCGTAGGGCCTACCACCACCAGCGGCGCATCTTTACCAAGCTGCGGGCGTCGCTTCCCTATTTTGGCCTCCTGGCGCAGCTGGTCATGCTCCTGGTTGAGGAGACCGCCCGCCGGCAGGATCGTCTCGAGCAGGCGGCGGCGGCGGCCACGCACGATTGCCCTGCTGCGGCGGCTGCTGCTGCCGACGCCGCTGCCACTCCTCGGTTGGAGCGCGGGCCTCCACTGCCCGACCAATCAGAAGACCAGACGACGCAGGAAGATGATGCCTTCCGGCTGCAGGCGCAGCGGAAGGAGAGGGCTCGACGAGAGAAGGAAGCCACCGAGCACAGTCCCACCTTCACCTTGGCCCGCGCGGTGCAGGACCTCCTGGGCCGACAGCTCGGCTGCGTGCGGGAGAACGAATGGGTAAGCACCCTCCCTCCCCTCCTCGCCGTCGCGCTTGGCGGCTGTCTGCCCCATATGTCTGGTCTTACTTCCTCCTCCTCGTGCTGCTGCTGCTGCTGCTGGACAATCACTCGCTCCCTACCGACATCAAAAGGACAAGGCTCGCGAAATTTTGGGCTGTTGGCTGGGCGAAGAGGAGCGCACCTACCGCCTCCTGTCCAAGCGGGAACGGTTCAAGTTTTGGGCCGCCCTCCCTGCTCACCTCCCCTTCCCTGTCCCCGCCTGCGGTGCCACCGCCGCACCCACCGCTGATGCCCCCACCCCCAGACGAGAGGAGCCACAAAATTAACCCCCGCGAGAGATTGGCTGGAAAAGGAAAAAAGGAAAAGATAGATTTTGATGAAGATGATGCGCAAAGCCACTGGGGGCACAGGCCTGTCCCATCACCTTCTCAAGCCGAGCCGCACGGCCCGTACGCTCGGCACTTCCCTTATGCGGGAAGCAGCAGCAGTTGGTCTCTTGCCACGTTCGCGTGCACTACACACTCCAGCCACGGACGAGCGAGAAGCAGAAGAAGCCCTTCTCCATTTTGTGGCCTCTAGGAGGAACCTGCTGGTGATTACGGGGGCCGGCATCAGGTAACCGTTCACCCGGCGTAAAAAGAGGGTGTTCTTACGGCCCATCTCATCTCATTTCTTTCTTTCTTTCTCCGCCATTTTAAGCACAGAGTCGGGCCTTCCTGACTACCGGGGTCCACAGGGCAGCTATGCCAAGGGGCATAAGCCCACCCTCTACCGCGATTTTGTCACCTCCCCCTCCGTGCGGTTCGTTCTCCTCCACTCACCCTCACCCTCACTCTCCTCCTCGGACCCCCGAAAGCAGAGGCGCACCTGCCTCTCCCCTACGGCGGAACTTACGTGCCGGTCGGTGGTGCAGGCAGAGGTACTGGGCGAGGAACATGCTCGGGTGGGAGTCCTTCTCCCGCGTGCAGCCCAACCCCGCCCACTTGGCCCTGGCGCGCATGCAGCGGGAAGGTGTGTTCCAGCACCTCGTCACACAGGCTCGTTCCCTCTCCCCCCCTCCTCCCTCTTTGATGAATGTGTGCCATGTTGGAGACCAACCATCCCACCCCAACCCAATAGAATGTTGACCGCCTGCACCAGCGTGCCGGAAGCCATGGCGTGGTCGAGCTTCACGGGCACAACTGGGCTGTGCGGTATGACCCTTCTCACGTTGACGAAAAGGGTGGTGGCTGGTGGTGGCTGGTGGTGGCTGGTCCTCCACCCCCTTCCCCCGACTGTGAAGGCCCGAAATGGGTGTGACCCCATCCATCCATCCATGCGTGCGTGCGTGCTGAGGCTGAAGCCGTGCGGTCGTGTCCGGTGGTGGGTGGTGGCTGGTGAACAGGTGTCTAGGCTGCGGTCATGAGGAGGACAGAGCTCATTTCCAGGCGCGCCTGCTTGCCGCCAATCCAGACTGGCTTCCAGAGGCAAAGGCGGCCGCGTCTTCCCCCGTGGTGGCGGGTACTCCCGCCCCTGTTGCCCCCAGCAGGTACCAACCACTCCTCCTCAAGGAGGCACGTCCCTGCCTGCCCCCTCCCCATTCCAGTGCCACTGGTAATCGTAGTAGCCCTTGGCTCCCGGGCTGGTGTGGTGTTCAGCGTGCCTGTCTCTGCTGCCTTTTTCGCCTCGTCCTCGGTCTCGGCCGAAGAAGCCGGAGGCATCCGGCCAGATGGTGATGCAAACGTGCCCTTCCACGACCACTCCCAGTTTTGCGTGCCCTCGTGCACCGCCTGCCACGTTGGCGTTGTGGTTGGTACCCCCCCCCTCCTGTCTGTTCTTTTTCGTTTCCTGTTCTCGGTAAATGTCTCACACTGCACCACTCCTCTTCGTTGGCCTCCCTTCTCCATTCGAGAAACCCGCGGTCGTCTTCTTCGGAGAGAACGTTCCAAGGGCAGTTGTGGAAGAGGCCATGAGCCACACCCTGTCCTCTGATGGTGTTCTGGTCATCGGCTCCTCGTTGATGGTCTACTCTGGTACAGCCATGTGGTCTCCTTGTTAGTGGGTGGTAGCGGCGTTGTTCGTCTCCTCACAATTCTTTCCCCCTTGCGGCAGCCTTTCGCTTTGTACGTGCTGCCGATGCAACCCATCTGCCAATAGCCCTCCTGAACATCGGACCCACTCGCGCTGATGCACTTTCGTCAATCCATCTCAAGCTTGAACTCAAGGTCTTACAACTGCCACCGCCACATTGCCTTCATTCCACCTAACACCTCTTCTTGGCAGGCTGGGCATGTACTGCCCCAGCTGGCTTCATCCTTACTCTCCTCATCTGCTCTGTGAGGGCCAAGTGTGAACCTAGTACCTCCTGCATGTTTGGGCTGACAGTGCCCTCAAGTGGTAAAGCTGAATTACCAGCAGTTGGGGACTGAGGACAGAGAAAGAATAAAGATGCACACCTTTTGTCAGAACCTGTTGTCTGTTTTGTTTTTTTAATTTTTATTTTTTAAATTTCATTTTGTAAATAAATAGCAACCTTATTCCAGGAATGGGCTGGAGTTTTGACAGATTTTTTTGCAATCAGCCCACAGAGCAGAGATTACTCGTTTTCTCGCTTGCTCTGTAAGCTCCTGGCCTCGCGTTTCGTTCTAAATACGCTGAAGAGGACGGGCTTCAAGATGTGATATGACTCAGCCCTGTACGATGCTTCATTGGGCCGCTAGGACTTCCTCTTCTTGGCGACTTTTTGCGTTTTTTTCCACTGCACACAACAAAGAGCACTCCTTTACTCGCTTGCCTTGATAGCTAGCGGCCTGGCAATAAGTTTCCAGACCAATCAGACCATGGGCTACAAGATACCGCACGATTCAGGGCGCTACGGTGCACTGTTCGCCTCACGACTCGTTGCTCTAAAATCACACACCAATTGAAGAACACCTGTTTGCTCGCTTGCCTTGATAGCTAGAGGCCTGGCAATCAGTTCCCAGACCAATCAGACCATGGGCTACAAGATGCCGCACGATTCAGGGCGCTACGGTGCGCTGTTCGCCTCACGACTCGTAGCTCGAAAATCACACTGCCATATGAAGCACACCTGTTTGCTCGCTTGCCTTGATAGCTAGAGGCCTGCCAATTGATATACTCCAATTAGACACGTTGGGGCGGTTATCCTCGACAACCGCGGACAGAGCGGCGCTACCCGCAGACATCTCTGCTGGTGCTCGTCTCTGCACTGGTTCCCCTCTTTGGGGGATGCAACGAAAACGTGTAAAACTAGTTTTACGAGTGAACTAATAATTCATCTTCTGTCAGGGGAGCCACATCGCAGCACAGCAGCAGCGTCAAGTAGAGCTGCCTCCCCCACCCATCATTGTCTAATGTCGATTCACAATAATAAATGATTTTTGAGTTACCCTAAAAAATGCATTTTCCGGCATCGTCCACGTGCTGTCGACGCGTAGCTTACGCGCAGCTTACGCGTAGCTTACGCGCAGCTTACGCGCGACTTACACGTAGCTCACGCGCGGACAACACGTTAACGTGTTGTCCGCGCGTGAGCTACGCGTTCAAGGGGATGGCTTGTTTTCGCGGACATCGCGATTATCCGCGGACATCGCGATCTCCCGCGGACATTGCGATTATCCGCGGACATCGCGGCCGGGGACTCATCCCCCAACGCGTGCTACGCGTTTTCGGACTCATCTCCCTAGTAACACTCGTAAAACTAGTTTTACACGTTTTCGTTGCATCCCCATAGAGGTTCTGTGGATCCGTCTTGTCCAATAGAGAGGGCACAAGCTTACGGTGCCACGGTCTTGGTTGTGTGGTATAGAAAAAATGGCAAAAACGACGAGGAAACGGAGAGGTCTGGCGGCCCAATGAAGCATCGTACAGGGCTGAGTCCTATCACATCTTGAAGCCCGTCCTCTTCAACGTATTTAGAACAAAACGTGAGGTCAGGAGCTTACAGAGCAAGCGAGAAAACGAGTGATCTTTGCTGTGTGGTATCGAAAAATTGGCAAAATGTCTCCGAGGAAGTCCTAGCGGCCCAATGAAGCATTGTACGGGGCTGAGTCCTATCACATCTTGAAGCCCGTCCTCTGCGACGCATTTAGAACGAAACGCGAGGCCAGGAGCTTACAAAGCAAGCGAGAAACTGAGTCATGTTTGCTGTGCGGTAATAATTGAAAAAATGCTCCAGTCAAAACCCAGTGCTGCCCATTCCTGGAAAAAATTGGCTATTAAAAAAATAAAAATAACTAAACCAAAAAACCAAAAAAACCCAACAAAGGAGTTTGGCTGGATTTTGCTGGGGTTTCATTCCTTACAAGAAGAACAAAGGAGGATTAGCCATGGAGAGGCTGGCTGTAAGCTCATGGAATTCCTAGTACTTGAGGTTGGACTTCTTGGCAGCAGCAAACTTGTCTACAGCAGCCCAGAACTGCAGTACAGCTGTCCTGTCCAAGTGACGCTTGTGCTTTTCCCTGCTCACCTGAAGAGAGCTTAACCAAAGGTGTTGGATAAAAAGGAGAGATGGGGGGGTACTGGCAGTAACTTGACATTCCATGACTTGACTGTGTCAGGCACCTGGGAGTCATCAAAGTGGAGGTAAAACCCCTGGGCTGTGGTGCGCACAAACAACAGACATATCAGTCAAGTCTCCTTGTCTGATACAGCGGTACGTACTCTTGGAGAACAGTTCTACTGGGGAGGACCACTTCCAGTCCTTGAACTGCCAGGGTGGCCCCAAAGCAAACACGGCCACCACACGGTTCCTGTGATGGACAAGGAGGATCAGTCCATTTCAAGAAAGGCTCGCCGGCAAAGTGCACGGAGGAGGAGGCGGAGCATACCATTCTGTTGCTCCAAATTTGGAGGGATTGTCAATCACGTGATAGGGCACAACAGTGCTGTCGTCCTTTCCCTTCTTCCGCTTCACCACAACCAGGTTTTCTTTCCGCGCGCCCTGGTTTTTCTTGTCGACGGAAGGCACAAACCTGGCGCAAAAGCCAAGGAGTAAGTCCCCGCACAATAGCCCCACAACCCTGGCTGGTGGTAGACACACGTACAGCCCATCTTCAAGGAATTCCTTGACGTTGTAGAGCGTGAGCAATGAAGTCAACGAGGCGGGTACGATGATGATAGGGATAACTGTAGCGCACGGCAAATGGGTGGTACCCGGCCGTCAGTCCTCGACTCGCCCACACGAGAAGTTGGTGTTGGTGGGGGGGGGGGTGAGGAGGACGGACGGTCAGTGGGCCTGAGCCGCCTCTCGCGGGGCTGCCTATCCCTGTCGGAGGAGGAGGAGGAGGGCCGCAGAATAGCTGGCGTGGCTGCGGCGGTTGGACTACGCGCCCAGCCAGACAGTGGAGGCGTTAGTGATTCGGCCAAGAATTGGGACGGTTGGCGATCATAAGTACCCCGACGAGGACGATGACGTTGTGGCGGAGGATGGAGCCGAAGTGAGGGCAGACGATATGGACTGAAGGCCGGACAAACCGGCAAAGGTGCCACGGGTGTCGATATCCCAGTCCTCAGCCGCTGCACGTCAAAACTGAGCAAGCGCCCACTGCACACGAGCGCTCACCCCTCAGCGGCCAACGTACCAGTGCCCTTAAGCTTGGTGCGCCAGAGCTGCTTTTCATTGATGTCGTATCGGTTGTAGCCCGACGACCGCACCTGCTCCTCGGCCTGCTTCTGCTGCTGCTCTTTCTTCTTCTTCTTTTCCCGTTCCTGGTATTGCTGCATGAACCCGATGATGTCTGTGAACCGCTGCAAGGAGAGGGGGGGGAGAGGAATCAGACTCGCATCTCACGCACACTCGCCCCTATGCCGTCGTTCCCTTCCTTTGGGGGGGGGGCGGCAGGGAAGAGGAAGTGGCAGACCAATGCGACCTACCTTGGTGTCGCTGTGCAGAACGCTGATACGGGTGCGAAGTTGTCGCTCGCGATTGATAATGTCTGCTGTGACGAGTGCGTCAGCTTCCACGTAACTAGGCTTGTCCTGGAGGCGAGAAAGGTGGCCGCCGTGTGAGCGAACAGGAAACAACCGCGCACGTCCCTTTTTCGGGGCGGGAGATGATGCCAGTCGTGTGGAGTAGTGGTGGTAAGTACCCGGGTGCTGGAAATGCGCTCAGGGATGTCCTCCGATTGAATCGAGGTGAGCTTCTTCTTCCTCCTCTTGAGACGCAGCGCTTCCATCTGCTCCTTTGACAGGCCCGCCCTGTACGCGCACATTTCCCACCATCATCGTCGTCAATTCCCATCGCCGCTGCTGCTGCCGCCGCCGGTGGGCGGAGGAAACCAGCAGGTGCAGCTGCGGGAGAGGGGCGCGTACGGTAAGGCGTCGGTGGTGGTAGCTGAGGCAGCCGACGACGCTGAGGAGGCAGCCTTGACGCCCTTGGGCTGCTCAAGTCGGTGTGCCACAAGTCGCTTGGACTCCTTGAGGCGGTCGTCGAGCTCGATATCCTGCGGTTCTAGCCGCGCCTTCTTGGCCACAGACCCCAAGGACTCGTGCTGCTGCTGCTGCAGGTGGTGGCTATCGAGTTGTGCGTCGCCCGCAGTCCGCTTGCCCTCCGCGCCGAAGGGCGAGTAGGCTGGTGCACCGGCATCATGCGGTGGCTGATGAGGAAAGGGCGCGAGGTAGGACGATGCGAGGGAGGAAGGTATAGGGGCGGGTGTGGTGCTAATGAGGGCAGGAGAGATGAGAGAGATGTATGGGGAGGAATCGATCTTGCCCGTGAGGTAGGACACGAGTTCCTTCCTGTCCACAAGCGACACCTTGGGGAAGCGATGTTTGGAGCACTCCACGAGGTAGTCCGCGAACTTGGTGTCCTGGTGCTGCAGCATGAACCAACACGCCTCCAGCGTGTAGCGCGCTCCCGCCCCCTTCAACGATCGAAACGATGTCTCGGTGCTTCGTGGGAACCGCATGTCTCCGAACACCAAGGCGTCTCCTTCCAGCAAAACTGGACGCTTGCTGATCGTAAACTCGCGCAACAACTGAAGCGGATCCGCCATGTTGCTCTCTCCTGGCGCCAAGATGGAAACGCGAACGTGTGTTTTTGTTTTCCTTGTCAGATCCGGAAGGGGGGCAAAGGGAAAAACAACGATCCACTGTTTTCCGCCTTCTTAAAATAGAAAATAGAAAATATATTTTTTATTTTTTGTTCTGCTGGCACATCACCACCCATCCCCAGAGGGGACCCCTCCCAAAATTGGTGAAGGCCATCGGCCGCCTGTTGGTGGTTGTTTGTGTTGTTGGTGTGTGGCACGCGGCGGCCTCAGGACTCCTTGGGCTTGGTCAGGGTGCGCCAGCTGCGGTTCTTCTTGTTGGGGTTGGTTGCACCTGCCGCATGGTCGGCGACGGGTGGACTGCCGCCGCCGCCGCTCGACGCTGGCACTGAGGAGGACGAAGCGGGGGGCAGGCCGCCCAGGTCTGCCTCGTCGCTGTCCTTGCGGCGGAGTTTGCGGGAGAAGTTCTTGAAGAGGGATGGCCGCGTGGGCCGCCCGCCCGACGATGAGGAAAGAGAAAGGGACGATGACGAGGGGTCTTCCTCGGGAGCAGCAGCAGCAGTAGCAGTAGCAGCTGCCACGGCGGCAAACTCCGACGAGGAGGTGGGAGAGCGCGGAGAGCTGTCGCTCCCGCATGGAGAGTAAGGGGGCGAGACTGTGCCCGCCTTCATCATGGGCACCTGCGAATCCGAATTCGAGAGTGCCAGCGCCAGAGAAGGCGCCACCGGTGATGCGACAGACGACGTCGAGGATGGATGGGAAGGAGAAGGCGACGAGGAAGGGAACGACGAAAGAGAAGACGCAGTGGAGGAGGAAGAGGAGGAGGAGGAGGATATGAGCACCGAAGATATCTGCGCACTCTTCCGCCTGTGTGTCGTGTTGTCGACATGGCCGTATGCGCGCGGTGCGTGGTGTGCGTAAACCCCCCCCCCTTCGGTCAATTCTGCGCCCTATGGGGAGACGACCACACACGCCACCACGTACCGCATCTTCTTCATGAAAGAAGACGAAGAAGCGTTGGCGAGAGAAAGGGAGCGCCGTCGCTGGGCCATCTCTTCTTTGTCTTTTTGGGCTGTGAGGAGGTCGCCGTAGGGAGCTAGTCAGTGCGCTGAGCGTGGCCGCGAGGAGGAGGAGGAGGGAGGTACAGAGTGGCGGTTTGGCGCGGAAAGATTGAGTGGCGGATCGGGAAGGTACAGCAGCCGACGAGGCCGCCGCCGCCGCCGCAGCCGACGAGGCCTCTTCGAGCAGTCGCATGGTCTTGGATACGTAGTTCTGCGCATCTCGCACCTGCACGCGACCGCGACCGCGACCACCAAAGCGCTGAGTGGTGAGCCTTTTCGTTCGTTCGTTCGTTCGTTTGCTCTTTCCTTCTTTCTTGGTTCTCTTGACTTACCTCGCGGTTGTCGGCGAGGTGCCGCGACAGTTCGCGGAACATGAGCTCATATCGCGGGATCCTGAGCCAGAGAAAAGAGTGATCAAGGAGGTATCAGGTATCAGAGGGTGTTTGGAGAATGTTTGGGGAGCGCGTTTGGAGGTAGAGGAGGTGGTGTTGGCCGCACCGTTGGGCGGGGGTGATGAGGATGCTCTCAAAGGCCATTTCGCCGTTGCGATGGCGAGTGGCGTCGAATTCAGTCAGGAGGCTGGCAAAGGCCGGGTTGGTGGCCTTGAGCGTCTCGCAGAGGGTGAGCGCATTGTTGTATCCCTCAAGGAAGGGCGTGTAGTCCTGGAAGAACTGGCATTCCTGCAGGAACAGATTCCCCAGAGTCGACGCCTTCGTGTAGGGTCCTGAACATGATGCGGCAGCGGCCCACCCGTGCAACCCGCGACCGGCAGAGAGCACGTTAGCGTGTCAGGCTCGCAAAACACACACGGCACGACACACATTTGCAGAGGAGGGCGACTGCCAACCAAAAAAAAAAAAATCACCCATACATAGGTGTGAAATAAACCATGCAATACGTACCGGACCACAGCATAATCCACTCGACGCGGTGGAGCAGGCCCTTGTGATGCTTGAGGAGATCCTCCACATTCATGAACAGCGCCCTGATCTGCTCCTCCGACAATATCGGCTCGCGCTCGGAGTCTGATCGCCCGCCCGCCCGCCCGCCCGCCCGCGGCACACACGTGGTCAGGTCATGATGCAGGGGCTGCCACGCGCGGAGGGAGGGAGGGAGAAAGCAGCACGCACTGTCTTGAGACTCGCGGAGAGAACGGCGGAGGGGCACCAGAAGGCCATTTACCAGAATGCCCAGATCCCGCACGTACGTGCGTTCTGTGTCCACCAGCTCCAGGAACACCTGGCACAACCCCCAAGCAAACACACCAAACGCCGGCGCCACCCCATTCATGTCAGTCTCGAGCAGCAGTCACGGGTTCTCTCTACTCTCTCTCTCTATGAGTCCCTGGTTGCACTCTGCTCACCCATCAACTCGCAGGCGCTCTTCTACAAGTCGAAGCCGCTGCCCACCTACGATCAGGCGATGCAGATGCAGTCTTTCTCTCCTCTTATTTAGGCCTGTCCCTCGCTGCCGGTGGCTGGTGGCTGCACACCGTGTAGTACGGGTACCGAAGAGGGGAGAGGGGAGCAAAGGGCTGCTCTTCAAGCCACTCACCTCGTTTTGGTTTTGAGTCTGGAGCAGGATGTGGCCCCGGCGAAGAGTGTCACTCTGCTGCTTGTGGTTGTGGTTGGTCACGCACACCATGGACGACGCCATCGCCCCTGTGGCTGGTGTTGGAATTCGCCCTGGTGTTGTTACTGAGTGCCGTCCAGACCCACCGAAAAAGGGGGGGAGAAAGCAAGATGCATCTGACAAAAAAACAATGGAAAAAGAAACCCTAAATCACTCGCCCACATCAAAGCATCTTCCGAACTTCGCCCAAACTGTGGCCACCTCCTTCCAATTTGATGGGAAAGGTAACGATGGGGGGGGGGCAAAACTTCGGATCGATGCCGTGGCTGGCGCGAGACCGTCAGGGACCTTGTGAGCGTGTATTCATACATACCTGTGGCGAAGGCGGTTGTTACTTTCACGCCTTCAAGCGTTCTTTCTTCTTCTCCTTCTCTGAGCCAAGTGGTTGCCTTGTTGTGGCTGGGGGGGGGGTGGTCTTCCTTTCTGGGCTTATTTGGTCGCTGCCCCGCAACGCACCAGGGAAGAAGAAATGACGCGGAAATAATGGAAGAAAAAGACTCGACGAGTGGAGGGTCAGGAAAGATGGCCACCAAAGGCGCACTCAAGCTGCCTGAAGAGCCCACCAAAAAGAAGGGCAAAGGCGGCAAGGCGCAGCTCCCCAAGTTGCCCAAAGGGGAAGTGTACACGCGAATCGAAATGAAGGAGCTCAAGCAGCTCGTTGGTCCCAAGCCCACCTACCCGCTTGTGCTCGACTTTGGCTCCACCGAGTTCCAGCTCGAGACGGCCGACTTCCTCCTCAACGCTTCCAATGTCTTCAAGGAGTGCGGCGACCCTTTATTCTTTATTCTTTTTCTTTATTTGCTTCTTGTGATTTGTTTGGGGGGGGGAGCTGCACCTGCCCACACGACGTCGTCGTGGTCGTTGTAGTGAGAGCGCCAGGCGAGTCTTTGTGCTCACCACCTCGCTTCTGTGCATGTCTGTGTTGACACACACGCCAGGATCGACTTCACCTCCAACTCGCTCGTGGACTGCTCGAATTCCTTCGAACATTTGAGCAAGCTCAAGCGACTCATCATCGACCGCAACGCGTTGTGCGACATCCAGTTCAAGGGCCTAGCCTCCCTCGTCACTCTCTCTCTCGCCGACAACCGCCTCAACTACTTGAATGACATGGGTGACCTCCGCAAGCTGGTCAACCTCAACCTCTCGGGCAACAAGCTCACTGGTACCCGCCTCCCGCCCACTGCTGCTGCTGCTACTGCTGCTCCCCATCGTGGGCCTGTCTGCGTCTCTGTGTGTCTGCATGCGTGCGTGCGGGCGTTCTCCCGATTTACGTTCTCCTCCTTCTCCCTGCGTTGCACTGCCGGTCGGCCCGTCCAGCCGGCTTCGATCAAATCGCCAAGTGCAAGGCGCTGCGAGTGCTCGACCTGGGGAGCAACAACATCGACTTCTCGCTGTCGCAGTTCTGGCGCAGCTTTCGCTTCCTCAAGACCCTCCCCAAACTCAACTGGCTATCGTTTGAGGGCAATGCCTGCGAGCAGTCGATCCCCTACTTCCGGTAAGCTGCCGCTGCCGCTTCCCCACTCCCTCCCAAATGACCTTGTTTGATCCTTTTATCTCTATTTATCTGTCTCTCTGTCTATCTTTCCCTTCCTTCAGGGAATTCATCGCCCACGAACTGCCCAAGCTGAGCTACCTCGATTGGAAGCCCATCACCCGAGAGGTTTGGATCCCTTTGGCCCCTTCTCTCCACCGCCCGCCGAAAGCGATTTCCGTCTTGCTCCATTCTTCCGTTCGATGGAAATCCGCCTAACAGAGGCTCACACGTGTGCCGTGTGTGCCGTGTGCCGTGCGGCATTCTGTCGCACAGGAACGATCGGAGGCCACCAAGCTTGCCGCTAAGGGGATCTGGAAGGACAAGGTGCCACTTGACCATGTGCCGTGTGCCGTGTGCCGTGTGCCGTTCTTGCGAGGCGTCCGGATTTTGACAATACACGGCGCTATGCGAACGCACAGGATTCGTTGGCGGAGCTTCGAAAGGCAAAGACGTCCGGAGTCCTGGCCACTGTCGGTACCAGCCCGGGATCCTCGCGTATCGACCCCTCTCCCAGGAACTTCTCAGGTACGTGGTGGCTGGTGGTGGTGGTGGCTGCTGCTGCTGCTGCTGGTGGCTGGTAGCTCCGCCCTCGTCCTGGTCGAGGATACTACCACGTATCCTCACAGTCAATCTATCTAGCGGTGGTGTCCCCCCCCCTTTTTTCTGATGGCGCCAGCACATGTATGTGGGGGCGGATACCAGGTGGGGGCGAGCACTTCCACGCACCACACATGACGGTGGTACCTTCGACGGGGAAAGGGCAGATGCTGGAGGAACTCCTCGGCCTCGAAGACGAGGACGAGACTCACCACGCTGCCGGAGACGCCAAGCGCGGCCCGGCGACTCACGCCCACACGCACAGCGCCGGCAGCGATGCTGACGGTGCTTGGCGCAAACCTCTCTCTTACACACACTCACACACATCATCATCATCATCATCATCAATCAGCATCATCATCATCACTTTCAGCCGGACGAGGGGATATAGTGATCCACATGATGCACGTGGCTTTAAATGATAGCTGATGCCCCTCCCAATGTGGCGGCGGCGGTGCAGATGGAAGCCTGGAGGCGTCGAAGAGGGCCAACGACCAGCTGGATAACATTCTGGAGTTCCTTGATCAAGACGGTATGTACGCTTCGCAGCTCTCCACTGCGTCGTCTTTCCTCTCTACCTACCTTGCTACCTTCTTCTCCATCTCTTCTCGTTTCAATTTTTTTATATATATTTCTCTGCACTGGCCACCGGTTATACCCCTGGCAGAGCTCTCATATATGGATGGGCGGGCGGGTGAGCCGACAGGCGCTCCTCTCTCTGCCGCGGACAACGAAGACCCCAGCCTGGGGAGCGGCCTCTCGTCGACGGCCTCGTCGCGGGCGAGCGTCGCCTCCGCCACCGACGGTACTCACCTCCTGGACAAGCCCCGCGTGCTACATTCGCCCTCCCGCGGCTTAGCCGCCGCTCGCCACTGCTGCTATTCCCTGCCGACATACATACTGACCGTTGGTCGGTCGGGTGGCGCGGTCCTTCGCATTGAAGACCACACAGACAGGCAGCCGGCCGCAGCGGCCGGTGGCAGCAATTATCTGGAGATGTTCTACTCCATGCTCAATGCGCCCAACGACCCTTCTTCTTCTTCTTCCTCCTCCTCCTCGGTGTCTACGCGCCTGGTTCAGACGGGCGGCACCATACGGCGCCTCGGTACCCCCCCCCGTTCCGCTGTCTCTGCGCGCGCGCGCTCCTCTCTCTTGTGTGTGTGCGTGCGTGTTGTGTGTGTGTGTGTGTGTGTTGTGTGTGTGTGTGTGTGTGTGTGTTGATTTTAGGGTGGGTGTCTTACCCGAACGGGTTGTTGTTGTTGGGCTGGAGGCAGAAGAGCGAACGAACATTCCCACGATCAGGACCGAACCGCAGGACGACACGATCTTCAACCTGCTCGATCAGATCATCGAAAACAAGTCCTCGGCCCCCACGCGTACCCCACCACCCTCCCCCCGCTGCCCTTTCACATTCTCTGCGGCGACGTGGCTGTCACGGCTTACTGCGAGAGACCTCTCGTGCAGCAGCGGCGGCGGCGGCGGCGACGGCGGCAGTGCCACCACCAGTACCGCAGCAGCAACTGTCAGTAGCCGCCATGCGCAGCTCGGTGCGCAAGTCTCAGATCCAGGACTTTGCCGAGCTGGAGAAGACTCTGAACGGTAGCCCCCCCAAACCTCTCCTTGTCTGCCTAAGTGGCGGTGCGCGGGGGGGGGCATTGGCGCCACTGACCTTTTTTTTCCATGTGGCCCCGCACGGTACGCATGTACGGGTGGGGGGGGGAGCGCAGTGTTGGAAACAAGTTTCGCGGACGAGGAGAGGGAGCGGCAGCAGAAGATCGAGGAGGAGCGAGCGAAGCTGCGGCAACTGGAGGTGGAGCGCCAACAGCTTCTCGCGCAGCGGGAACTCGAGAAGCGCCTGACCATGCAGAAGCTGCGCGACGAGCAGGCCCGCCGCCTCGAGGAGGAGAGGAAGCGGTACGAGGACGAGGTGCGAGCTCTCCAGGAACAGCGGCGAAAGGCCCACGAGGAAGCCGAGCGGCTGCGGCACGAGGTGCAGCAGCAGCAGCAGCAGCAGCAGCAGCAACAGCGCCTCCTGGCCGAACAGAAGCGGAAGCAGTCCGACGAAGAGGAAGCGGCCCAGCAGCACCAGCAGCAGCAGCAGCAGCAGGCGCACGCCGCTCAAGTCGGGGAGAAGGCCGACCGCCTCTCGCGCAGCTCCCGCGACGACGCCCTCCTCGCAAGTGCGCCCCTCTGATCCCGCCTCAACGCACGCACGCACGCACGCACAAGCACGCACGATGACGCCAACGCCTGATAGAGCTGCGGCGTGGTGGTGATCCTCCCATCCTCTCACACAAAACGAATAACTGTCCGCCGATCACACGCCGCACGCAGATCTGCAGCCCTTCTACTGCCGCTACGAGGACCTGCAGATCGGGCAGAAGCTGGGCCTGGGCTCTGTGGGCGTCACCCATCGAGGCATCCTCAACTCGCGCCAGGTGCGCTGCCGCCGCCGCCGCCGCCGCCCCACGGCTCCTCTTTTGATTTTGTGCTGGCTCCATTTTTGCTCGTTCGATTCGCGTTCCGTTTCATTTCGTTTCATGGCTTGGCAGGTGGCCATCAAGAAGTTTCACTGCCCCACCTTCTCCGAGGCCCTGGTCAAGAAACTGCGGGACGAAGCACCCCAACTGAGGTACGCGTGCGCACATGGCGTGCCATTCCTCTTTAAACGTTTCTGTTTGTTTTGTGTTTTGTGTTTTGACTCAAACGGGCGGTGCAGCTTGCTCAAGCACGGCAACCTGGTGGAGTTTGTGGCTCTGTGCGTGGACACGGAGATCTGCAGCGTGACCGAGTGGATCGAAGGCGCCAACCTCTACGGCTACCTGCGCAACTCCGTACCTCCCCGCTCCGCCCCACCACCACCACCACCACCACCAGCCGCCGCCGCCGCCGCCGCCGCAGCCAAGCAACGCCAGCAGGGGGAGGCCAGCGGCAGAGGCCAGAGCTGATTCTCTCCCACCTGTGTGTGTGTGTGTGTGTGGTGTGTGTGTGTGGCCCGGCCCGCCTTGTTGTGTTGTGTTGTGTGCGCAGGGGAATGTGGTGGGGCAGGAGTGGCCGGTGAAGATGGCGCTGCAGATCGCGCAAGCGTTGGAGTACCTGCACGCGCACGGAGTGGTGCACGGGTCCCTCAAGAGCCGGGACGTGCTGCTGGACCGGGACGGGAGTCCCCACGTCACCGACTACGGCCTCCTCCCCGCCAAGCTCCTCGCCCTCTCCTCCTCGCCCGCTGCCGTCTCCAGCTGCTACGTGGCCCCCGAAGTGCTCGCCGGGCAGCCCCCCTCCCCCCAGGCCGACGTCTACAGGTAACTCTACCCCCCCCACCCCCCATCCACACTTCCTCCCCACTTCAACTCGGCTACAACGACACGGTCGCACGGCAGCTACGGCATCTTGCTGTGGGAGCTCTTTACCCGCGCCCAGCCTTTCGCCGGTCTTCAGCCCCACCAGATCAAGGAAGCCGTCATCCACTATCAACGGTACCCTTACCCCATCGCACGCATCGCATCGCATTCCCACTCCCCATGACTTGGCTGGCGAAGTCACGGGCGGACATACAGAGGCACGTGGCCGGCTGACCCTCCCTCATGCGTGTGGTGCGTGTGGTGCGTGTGGTGCGTGTGGTGCGTTGTGCACGCAGGCCTCCCGTTCCTCTGTGTCCGTTTGTGCTGGGGCGGCTCATGCAGGCGTGCTGGCACGATTCGGTGAAGAGTCGCCCCTCGTTTGCGGTGATCGTTAAGATTCTCAGCCAGCCCCTACACGAACTCCTCCGCTACGACCCCAAGGCCTCCCCCGCCGCCGCCGCCGCCGCCGCCACCAGCAGCGGCGGTTCCTCTGCCCACCAGCAGCGAGGTACCTCGCTGTCGTTGCTCCATGCCGATGGCGGCTGGGAGGAAGACATGTTTGTTGCTCACGTTGGCGGGCTACTACACCAACCGTTGGGGCGGGGTCGGTGATCATCCGCAGCGCGTGGTCGAACAGTAGGCCAGCAGGAGGGCGGCAATGGCGGCGCGCTCTCGGAACAGACCGGTACACTCCCCAAACGCATGATGATAAGTATTATTTTATTTGTTATTCGTTGTTGTTGTTATTATTATTTATTGTATACGCCTATTAATAATAAATAAGTAGTAAGTAGTAAATAGTAAATAAATAAATAAAAATAGAAAGTACTTTAAGAACGGGGGGTTGCGTTTGCTATCTTATTCACAATTTTTCTATTACGTAAACCCCAGCGCGGGAGATCGTGGCGGAGAAGAGGCACACGGTGGTGGACCGCATTGCCGACATGATTAACTCCGCCAATCCGCAGTTCCAGCTCAAGGCGGTCAAGGCCATCAGCACCTTTGCCACCGAAGGTTTGCCGCGCCTTCCTCTCTCCCTCCCTAACCCTCTTTTCCCCGGTCCGGTCCAGGCTGAGCCCCCCACCCCCGCTCTAACTTGGCCGCTCTCCCTCACTTTCCTGTGTGTGTGTCGCGTGTGTGTCGCATGCGCGGAAGGCAGAAGGAAACAGGGAGGCCATGGTCGAGTCGGGCGAGCTGCTGCCGCGGCTGCTGCGGCTGTGCTCTGCCGCAGAGGAGGTGCTTCGCGAACAGGCCCTTCGCTCCCTTGCCTCGCTTGCCGAAGACGGTTCCTCAACCCTCTCTCTTCTTCCCCCCCCCATCTGTTCCTCGCTGCTTGCTGCTGCCGTCGCCGCCGCCGCCGCCGCCGCCGCCGGCTTCCTCTCATGTTACCAAATTGTCGTGTGCGGTGGTGTGTGTGTGACGTGTGCGTATGCGGTGGCGCGTGTGCGTGCGACGTTCGTCGCGTGGCCAGACTACTGCGTGACCAAGATCGCGGAGAAGGGCGGGCTCGCATCGATGGCCGCCATCCTGGCCTCGAGCGAGCCCACGGCCTCAATCCTCCTGCAGGCACTGCACGCTCTCGCCCGCCTGTCCCGCACCTGTACGCCCCGTGTCGTGTCGTTGGTCGTGTCGTGTCGTATCGTGTCGTTTCGTTGGCTGCGTGGGTGGTTGAATTCGGGCGGCGGCTGCGGCGGGGCAGTGGAAAATATCGAAGCGGTCGGGGAGCTGGGGGCCGTCGATTCGTTGGTCCGGTTGCTTGCCCACCCCAACAACGAGCTCCTCCAGATGCAGGTTAGAGAGAGAGCCCTCCTCCTCCTCCTCCTCCTCTTCCCGTGCCGCGCGCGCGCGCGCCTGTGGCAAAGCATAGCATAGCACCAGCGCCTGGCCCAGGCACTCCGGCCTCGTGGCTGATGGTGGTGGTGGCTGGTGGGCCAGGCGCTGGTGGCTCTCGGGCTAGTGCTGGGGTACGAGGGCAACCAGGTGCACTTCTACCGGGCGGACGGGGTGAAGCCCCTCATCAAGCTGCTGGGTTCCCCCAATCCCGGCATACAGCTGCGCGTGCTTGAAGTGCTCGCCGTGCTCGCCAACAACGGTACAAACTCCCGCCCCGCGAACCCCCGGCTCGTGTGTCGGGTGCATGCGTTTTTGTTGGACTCATTCATGAACGGTTTGCTGTGGCGGTAGATAAAATGGAGCTTATCATCAAGAGGGTGGGCGTGCTGCGGCGCCTCGTGCCCCTCATCCAGAGCAAGAGCCCCCTGCTCAAGCTGCAGGCCCTCCAGTCCGTGGCCAAGTTCTCCTCCCGGCGTACGCCACCCACCCACCCACCCACCCACCCACCCACCACCACCCGCCGCCGCCACATCTCCCTCCCGCCCCTTACCGCAGCTGCGCCTCTCGATTGGCCGTTGTTGTTCTGTTATTATTTTTATATATTGGAGGTTGTTTGTTTGATGATAGTAGTAGTAGTAGTAGTTGTCGTTGTCGTTGTCGTTGTCGTTGTCGTTGTCGTTGTCGTTGATGTTATTGATGAGGGAGAAGATCGTTGTTGATGATCGTTGTTGGTGGGCGGGGGGGGGTGCGCGTGCAGCCGCCTTGCGTGCAGAGATGGAAGAGTCGGGGGTGGTGGAGGCGCTGGTGGGCGTCTACGCCGATCCCCTGTGGGCCGACAATCGGGAGGTGCTCCTCAACACCACCTCCTCCCTCGCACACTTTGTCCTCGACCTCGGTACACCGCCCACCCACCTCCGCCTCCCTTGGAGCGGCAGCCCAGCGCGCCTCCCCACCACCCGCACAAGCCACCACCCGGCCACCACCGGCCACCACCACCGGCCACCATCCACCGGCCACCAGCAGCGGAGGATCCCTCGTCCGGGTGCCAACTTGGCTCACGCGAGGGGTGGCGGGGCACACCATCTACCTACCTATCTACCTATCTACCTATCTATCTCATGTGTAGGCAAGGGTCCGGGCCGGGCTGCTCGTGAGTTTCCATCGGGGCGCCTCACCAACATCGTGCCGTTCCTCATCACGGGATTTGCCGACGTCAAGGTGGAGCTCGTCAAGTGCCTCTCACACATCCTGCAGAGCGGTACCCAACCCTAACCCCACCAATGGAGGGCCTGATTTTTTTGTTTTGTTTTGAAAAAAAAAAGGATTTCTAATCATTATGATGTGCTGGCGGCGGCGGGATATGGAACAGAGGCGAGGCGAGGTGAGTTTTTGGGGCTGCAGGGGCTGCCGCGGCTCTTCCAGGCCCTCGCCTCCGATGCCACCAACGACGACCTGCAGCTCTACGGCCTCCTCGCCCTCGTAGCCCTCGCTGGCGAGGGAGGTACCCACCCCTTCCCCCCTCCCCCGCTGGCAAGTGAGCTCCAGAGGGCTGAAACGCCCACCGGCCACGGCCACCCGCCACACCATCACCACCCTGCTGGCTGGCTGGTGGCATCACGCTGCTGATGCTGATGCTGATGCTGATGCGTGATCGCGTTCACGCAGAGGAAATACGGGAGGCCATCGGCAAGGCCGGCATAATCGAGCACATGGCCGAGGACACCCTCACGTCCAACCACGAGGACGTGCAGCGGCACAGCCTCCACCTCTGTGCCATCCTCTCCGGCCAGCGCGACCTCAAAGAACGGTGCGCACACCCTCTCCTACCCCCCCATTCTACTGTCGACCCTCCCTCCCTGGCTGCGCCGCCGCCGCCGCACCCACCAGCCACCACCACCAACAACAACCACGCTCATCTGTCGTGGTCGTGGTCGTGGTCGTGGTCGTGGTCGTGGTCGTGGTCGTGGTCGTGGTCGTGGGTTGCAGGTTCGCTGCGACGGAGGCCGTGGCGCACTTGGCAAGCTTCGTGGACTCACCGCACGATGACATGCGCGAGCACGCCCTCCTCACCCTGGCCAATCTCGCCGACAACGGTCTCTTTTCTCCCTCCCTCGCGCAGCCACCACTTGCCACGAACGTGTGCATGCGCGCTCAGGCGCTCCTCGCCGCAGTTCTCTGACATGAATGAATGGGTGGCTGCTGCTGGTGGTGGTGGTGGTGGGCCGGTGCTCCTCCTGCTTGGCTGCAGAGCGATGCCGAGCGGCATGCCGGGAGGAGGAGGGCCTGGCTGCTCTTCTGACGGCCTTCGAGCGCGCCGCCCCGGAACCCGTCCTCGAATGCGTCGTCGGCGCCCTCGCCCATTTTGCCGGGGACGGTAACCCCCCCCCCCGAACGAGTGGTGTGCTGGAGGTTGTCCTGGCGGATCCACACGCATGCGTGTGCGCGCGCGTGTGTGTGTGCGTGCGCGTGCGCGTGCGCGCGAGAGAAAAGCCACCTTCACTGTGGTGGCGAGGTCGACTACGGTGTGCGCGTAGCACGACACACGACACAGCGTGTGTGTGTGTGTGTGTGTGTGTGTGTGGCTAATGATGCTGACGCGGGGCGTCTTTTGTCCTCTCCTCTTCCCCTCCGTTAACGTGTGGCAGAAGGGTGCCAGAGAGACCTGGTCGAGCTGGGGCTTTCGGCCATCATCCGGCATGCCTCTCACCCCAAGCTGGCCATTCAGTCCCTGGCCCTCAAGTCGCTCCTCCTGCTCCTGAAGAAGCCTGGTTGGTTCCCTCCTCGCCACCCGCCACCCGCCACCCGCCACCCGCCACCCGCCACCCGCCACCCGCCACCCGCCACCCGCCACCCGCCACCCGCCACCCGCCACCCGCCACCCGCCACCCGCCACCCGCCACCCGCCACCCGCCACCCGCCACCCGCCACCCGCCACCATTCCAGCAGCAGCAGCAGCATCCTCTCCCTCATCCCTGCTATGCCTCTTCTTGTCTTGCGCAGAGAATCGGCCAGCCATCGAAGCTGCGGGAGGCGAGGAGAAGCTGCGGGCCCTGACCACGTCGACGAACCGCGCTGTGGCGGCCGCATCAGCGCACGCCCTCCAGCTACTGCACTCCTCGTGAGTGGACCTCCACCCCTCGCCGCCCTCATCGAACAACAGCCACAACCAACAAAATGTACCACAGGTAGCTATTTCTCCCTCCCTTCCTATTCGTTGACGTTGGGCTGTGGGTAAAAACAGGAGGAGGAGGCCTCCCCCTAGGAGGAGGAGGAGGCGGTGGTGGAGGTGGTGGTGGCCACGAGCAGGCCCTGCGTCGGCGGCGGAGAGTTGAGGAGGTGGAAGAAGGCGATGTCGCTGGCGACGTCGCGCAGGTGCGTGAGGAAGGAGGTCATGTCGGTGTCGGGCGGAAAGAGGGCCAGCAGGTGGCGCTTCTGGTCGATGGAGAGTCCGGGCCGCTGGTCGATCCACGCGGGCAACACCTCGCGGAAGAAGCTGCCAAAGTCCACCAGGGCCACGTCATACAGGACGTCTCCGGCTTCCTCGGCGAGGGCGGCCGCACCGTCTGTCACGGCTGCGGCCAGATTCAGCAGAAGGCCCGTGAGGCGCCACCGTAGGCCGCTCTGGACGAACTCGGGGCGCTCGAAGAGCTTCACTCGCTTGCCCAAGTCGCGCAGCCACTTCAGGATCTGCACCACCACCGTCACGTCCATGCCCGCACCCTGCTGGGCACCCAGGGCCTCGCAAAACGTCCTGCCGGAGAAAGGCGAGCAGAAGTCATCAACGGAGAGAGAGAGAGAGAGGTCATCCCACCACCACGACCACGACCACGACCACTCCCACCACGACCGCGACCAGCAGCACATGCACGTGGAGAAAGCTGGCGGAGGAGACGAGGCAAGAGGACGAGTAGGATTTGGCGGGGGAGGGGCGCGCGTACTGGATGGAAGGCACGAGCACGGACTGGCCCTTGCTGCTGTCCGTCGTGTTCCAGTGCTTGAGCACCAGCTCATACACGACCTCGTAGTATTGCCCTGTTGGAGTTGTTGTTGTTGTTGTTGTTGTTATGATCGTTACGGTAGCGGTAGAAGCCCTTGAGGGTTGTAGTAGCGCGCCACCCAGTATTCGCCAAAAGGCTGTTGGGTTGCACGTACCGGCGACCTCCTCGTGAAGCTGGCTGTGCGGCAGCGCGAAGAGGAGCTGCCGGATGTCGGACACCAGGCCGTGGAGCTGAGGTGAAGCGTCGCGCACGATGTGCAGGATGAGCTGCAGGAAACGGCCCGATACAGCTGCAGCGGCTGCGTCGGCGCTAGTGAAGGTTGAACGCAACTGCTCCATCTCGCCGCCCAGCACCCCGATGAACGCCCTTTTGTATATTGCATGCCATCATGTATGCCACACATATATATAGAAATGGTGGTTGAGAGGGGAGGAGACGCGTAACAGGTGAGCACCAGCCATACGAGAGGGAGGGGGGGGAGAGAGAGAGAGAGAGAGAGCTCCAGCAACGCCGCCGCGGCAACAACCAACAAACGACGACGACGATGAGGAGGAGGCGGAGGGGTGGCGTAGGGCGGGGGAGAGCGCACATCATGGTTTCCTGGATGAAGGAGAGGCCCAGATGGGCCTTGAAGGCGTCGAAGAGGGCGATGAAGAGTTGCGTGATGGCCTCCACGACCGCCATCTGGCGGTGCGGGAGATAGGCACGCAGCAGTGGCACCCCCAGGCGGATGGCTCCCTCGAGCCCGCGCACCAGAATCTGCTTCGACTCCTTCCCGCCTCGCTCGCCCACGCGCGTCGCGATGCCCGTCAACGCCCGGAGCGCCTTGCTCACGCGGCCCGCCGAATCGGAGCGGGACAGCTGCTGCGCATCACCGCCCGCCTGCGCCAGCGGCTCGGCCAGCGGCTTCACCAGTGCCTCGAACGCCGCCGTGCGTTCGCCCCAGTGCTGCTCGTCCTGCTGGTGGTGGCGGTGGCGGCGGTGGCCCACAAGCCAAAGGAATAAAAGAGGGAAAGAGGAACAGGAGCGAGGAGGAGGAGGAGGGTAAGAGATCTGCCGGGCCCGTGCGTGCGTGCGTGCGGCGCGTGCGGCGCGTGCAGTGCGTGCGGTGCGTGCGGTGCGTGCTACGGATACGGGTACCTGTTTGGCCTTGAGCGGGAGCGTGCTCGAGGGCAGCTTGTAGGGGAGGAGCAGAATGCAGGCGAGGGCGGTGTAGAGGCGGGAGTGCAGGGGCGGACTGAGCGGGTCGGTCACAGAGCGCACGTTGGCCATGAGCCACTGCACGCCGGGTATCTGGCCCAGCTGCGGGACCCGCACCGCCAGGCTCACCGACTCGAAGAACTCCAACGCGGCTTCCACATCTGGCTCGCTGGCCTTCGGAGCCGCACCGCCACCAACGCCGCCACCGCCGCCGCCGCCCAGCAAGAGAGGTGAGTGTGAGTACTGGGTACCCCCATGGGGGGGAGGGAGAGGGAAAGGAGGGATCCGGGGGCGGGCGTGTTCCTACCCCCACGGACAGGAGGCCAGCGACGACGTCGAGGGAGGGCGCGAGCGTCTGCAGCACGGCCTGACGCCTGGCCAGCTGGCTCTGCTCGCTGTCTGTGTCCAAATGGGTCCCAATCTGCACCTCCACCTGCCACGTGGAGGAGACGGTCGCACGGCATGGCACTCGCGTGGTGAGCAACGAGACCTAAAAATATAGAAAAATATAAAGAAAAGGAAAATAAAAAAAAGGAAAAAAGGCGGCATTGTGGCTACCCAGGGCATGAGGGCGGCCAGGGCGGCAAAGGTCTGTGCGAGGAGGTCGGCAAAGTGGGCGCCCTGCTTGTGGAGGGAGCGCTGCACGATGGCTGCCAGCAGTTCCCGGAACTGGCTCATGAGTCCCAACACGCCCGCCGTCGTTTCCTATTTGTTAAAAAAAAACAGACAGAAACATATATGGCCGATGGGGGAGGGGAGGAGGGCGCGTTAAGCTGGCGGCCGTTGGCAGTGGGATTGGGAGGGATTAGGGTGGCGAATGGTGCGTGTGTACCCGATGGGAGAGGAAGTGGCTGTTGAGGCCTCCCATAATGGTCGCCAGCCCGCCCAGGTCCTTCGCCAGCCCGACCCATTCTCTGGACTGGTAAACGGGCAAATGGGTTCCACGATGAGAAGTCGCAGCATGCCGGCGTGCCAGACGCCTCCTTCCTTCCTTCCTTCCTTCCTTCCTTCCTTCCTTCCTTCCTTCCTTCCTTCCTTCCTTCCTTCCTTCCTTGACACCGCAGCAGCAGCAGCAGAGAGGGGTGTGTGTATGTAGTAGAGGGAGGGAATAGGAGGTACGTTATAGGGGGGAGCGTCGGCGCCGAGTTTGGCCAGGAATTTGGCGCTCGCGGTGGCAAAGGACGAGGCAAAGGACTGCAGCAGGCGGCGGGGGAAGAACTCGACTGCGCGAATGATCAGATCTCTGCACTTGCGCAGGAATGCATCCTGCTCGGTTTCTCCCTATGTGTGTGCGTGTGCGTGTGCGTGTGTCAGGCGTTAGCGCGTTACACGAGATCGTGGGGTCCACAAAAGGAGCACACGATGTCGTAGTGGCTGGTGGTGGCTGGTGGCTGATGGGGTCACGCACATCTTCGGTTCGGGCGGTAGAATCGAGAGACTGGAGGAAGATCAGGTTTTCACAGAAGGAAGACGATCGCAATATCTGTGCCGCCAGGATCTCCAGTGCCGGCCCGAACCTGAGAGGCAGGCAGGCAGGCAGGCAGGCAGGCAGGCAGGCAGGCAGGCAGGCAGGCAGGCAGGCAGGCAGGCAGGCAGGCAAGAAACCGTCAGTGCTCGTGGTACCACGAGGGCAGCCGTCTGCGCTGGCCAACGGGGGAGGGAAAGCAGGGCTTGGTGGTACTTGGCGTCGGTGGCAGCATCGGCAGCTTGGCCAGGTTCCCCGAAAGCGTCGAGGATGACGGACCAGATGTCAACGCAGGACACAAAGCCAGCAGCAGTGCGCTGCGAGAACGTGTATCGGTAGACCAGCGACAGAAACTCCACCGCCGGGAAGGCGTCGCTCTTCTGCCGTCGAGTAGATACGGACGACGACGACGCCGCCGCCGCCGCCGCCGCCGATGATGACGATGAGCCAAATGCGGGAAAAAAACCTGGAGAGGGGGAGCACACAAGGACGCGAGAAGGGGCGATGCATCGCTGTGGGTGCACGTGTGCGTACGTACCTGTATGCGGCCAAAGTAGTTGCTGCTGAACTGCCAGAAGAAGTGGTTGCACTTGGCAACGTATGCGCTTGGCAGGTCGGCCGATGGTGGAAGCCCGGCCAGCAGGTGGAGCAGGGTAAAGGTCTGCTGGAAGAGCACCCCCATGTAGGCCTGGAAATCCGACGGCACGTAGTTCCGCTCCAAGAGATCACCCAACAATCCGACCGCCTGCGCGTGTACCCCCCCCCAAAGCCAGTCACACCACCGATCGGTGGCAGTCATCACCACAGCAAAGAGTCAGCAGCTATCATCATCGTCATCATCATCATCATCGGAAGAGGACCGCGGGGAGTGTTCTTCTGCACCTGAGCTCCCGTTTCGTCCTGGAGCATGGTGAGAGGCAGCACGGCGTCGAAGAGACCGCTACCAAGCACGTCACTGGGCGAAAGCCAGCCCACCGCCTGGCTGATGCCCTCTGGATCACCCAAAGGGAGAAGGCGCGTCAGAAATTCCTCCGGAGGCATCGACGATGACGGCAAGAGAGAGAAATATATTATATATAGGGGGGGGGGGCTGTTGGGAGAAGAGGGGTACCTAGGATGGTGCTGACAACAGTCTGGGCGGCCCTGTCCAAGGTGCCCTGGTACCGCACGGACCCGAGGAAGGCCTTGACGAGAGGCGGTGCGTTGTCCGGTAGCTCGGCCTTCACTTCCCGGAGGTACTCCCGCGACACCCGCTTCAACTGCTCCTTCCACTCGCCTGGCGGGGCAAATTGGGGGGTAAAGGGGAGGGAGGGGAGGAATGCAAGCGAGTCAGATGGGCGGGTGGGTGGGTGGATCTAGAAAAGCTCTCCGATCGTGGCGTGGCGTGGCGTGGCGTGGCGTGGCGTGGCGTGGCGTGGCGTGGCGTGGCGTGGCGTGGCGTGGCGTGGCGTGGCGTGGCGTGGCGTGCGCACCGGAGATGACCGGCATTTGCTGCTGGAAGAGCTGCTTGAGCTCTTTGCGGCGGGTGGCCGAGGTCTGTCCGCGCGTGTCTGCAAACTCGTCACAGGCGATCGTGATCATGCTCAGCCCCAGCACCCGCGTGGAGTTGTCCTGTTGTTCGCAACAACGCCAACGTCAACATCATTACACGAGAGCAGCAACAGCCGTATAAGGTATACTGGGCTACGCTAGGCCGCGGTTGAAGCGGGGGTGTCGGGTGGGGTGGGTGGGTTGGGTGGGTTGGTTGGTTGGTTGGTTGGACGATCCCGTCACCGATACAACACAGTGTGCGTACCCGAGCGAGGGCGAGCAAATAGGCAAAGAACTCGGGGAAGTGGTGCGGGTAGTCCGCCTTCCCCACGGCCACGGCCACCTTGGCCAGCTTGGTGCCCACGAACCCCGGCAGAGCCTGCGAGCGCGCACCATGCAGGACACACACGACACGCACACGACACACACGACACACCAGCCGCCCAGTCATCAGCACTACTCCAGCAGCGCATGCATGCGTGCGTGCAAGCAGCCAATTGGGAGAAGAGGTGTCGGAGAAGGGGGCAACGCACGGAGTAGTGGGCGCGCAGGAAGGAGAAGATGAACTCCCGAGCAGAGACGCGGTCGGCGCTGCTCACGCGAGCCCAGCGGTGGGGCCGGAGAGTCTCCTCCAGCACTGCCGCCCCAAACCACTGCACATAGGCGTCCCCGCTGCTCCTCATCCACAATTCGGCCTCGCGCCACGCCCCGTCGGCCTCGCGGAGCCCCTTCAACACCCCCTCTACCGAGGTGCACCAGTTGCAAATTAATACTACAGCGCCGGGACAAGATGGGGATTGATTGGGGACACGCGCACCAATGTGGGCCTTGGTCGCGTTGTCACTGGCATGGAAGAGCCGCTGCAGAAGGCCTTGCAGTTCTTCGACTGCCACACGCCCTGTTCTGCCCTCCATCCTACGGGTCTTTTGATGCCTTGTGGGGCCCACTCTTTTTTTTTCCTGTTGTGTTTCTCTGCCCGCATTTCATCATAATAAGTATGTGGGCTTGGCCATTTCCCGCCCTTTTCCTCTCGGGGGCAGATCCCTCCCATTTAATCTCTCATAGCCACCACCACTTCCATCCGCTGACGAATGCTGCGCCGGGGATTTAATGGAAGCCGTGCGAGGGCAGCGTGCCGCCTTCCCGCTTCGAGTACACATGCCCGCGTCCCTGCGGCGCGCCAGGTGACTTCGCGCCGTCTCTTCGCCAATGCGGGGGCCACCCCTCCGCCCAGCTCCGGCGGCGGCGGCGTGGCGTTTGGGGTATTGGTCGGGGCGGCCGTGGGTGCCTCGGCGTGGACGGGCTACCGCTACTACACCGACCCCCCCTTCCGCGCCCGCCTCAACGACTTCTGGGCCTCCCTCTCCTCCTCCACCACCTCCTCGCCGTCGCAGCCCACCGCCGCCGCCTCACCAAAGCCGTCGGTGACCCACGAGGAGCAGCAGCAGCAGGAGGAGGCCGGTGCGCCGCTCTTGGCAGCGCAGGTCCTGCTGGCGGCAGCGGAGGAGGCCACCGCCCTCGATGCCCAGGAGGAAGCCGTCGTCGCTCTCCCCGACTCGCTCGTCGTGCAGCAGCAGCGGGAGCACCAGCAGCAGCAGGAGCACCAGCAGCAGCAGCAGCAGCAGGAGGAGGTGGAGGTGGAGCAGATGGACCCCGCCGCCACGCAGTCCAATGACGGCGAGGGAGAGGAGGAGACCGAGCAGCCGGCCATCATCGCCGCCCCCGCCCCGCTGGTGGTGGAGGTGGTTGGCCCCGAGGCCTCGCACGCGCACGTGGCGACCGATGGCGTCGCGCCGGAGGAGGCCAAGGCCGCCGTGCCCGCCGCGGTGGTGGCTCTCGTCACAGAGAGCTTCGCCGCCTCCGATGCTCACCAGGAAGCCGTGGCGGCCGTCGCCCATGATGACCACCACCACCACCACCACCACGATAAGGCCAGCCCTGCCGAGGAGCAGCAGCAGCAGCAGCAGCAGCAGCAGCAAGACGCCGCGAACCCTGCCGAGCCGGCTGGCGAGCAACGCGATCACGAGGGGGAGCAGCAGCAGCAAGAGCAGCAGCAAGAGCAGCAGCAGCAGGAGGAGCAGCAGGAGCAGCGTCAGGAGCAGCCAGCTGCCGAGGGTGCCACGCGGCTGCAGGAGCTGCAGGCCATCAAGGAGATCATCGCCATCCAGGCGGAGAGCTGCGAGCGCCAGGTGAGGGAGAAGGTCGAACGACTCCGCCAGAAGTACGAACACAAGATGGCCGCCCTCCGCCAGCACATGGACGAGGTCGTCGCCGAGCACGTCGACGTCGAACGCCAGAAGATCAGCGACGACTACCAGAACCGCCTCCACCAGCAGCTCGACACCCTGCAGCACCAATTCGTGGTACGTACACGCGCGTGACTCGGGGCTCGTGTGTCTCGTGTCGCGTCGTGTGCCGCGTGTTCTTTGTGGGCGGCGGCTGCAGGCTGTTCGTCTGTCTCTGTCCTCATGTGCTGCCGCGTTGGTCTAAACACCCCCCCCCTCTCCCTCCCACGCTAATGACCGCCAGGAGGAGCGCCAGCGCCTGTATTCGGAGATGGAAGATGTGGTGGCGGGCCTCAACGCTCGGTTTGTGGAGCTGGTGCGCGAGGAGAAGCAGCTCCTCAACGAGCAGCTCGAGGAATCGACCCGGCTGCACGCCCACACCCTGGCCTACCTCCAGGTGCACCTTCCTTGCCTTGCCTTGCCTTGCCTTGCTTTTGTTGCCCCGAGTGGTGGCGAGTGGCCTGCTTGCTGCGTTGGCGCGCGCGTGCACGTCTTATGAGTGTATGTTGCGGTGTGTGTCGTGTGTCGTGTGTCGTGTGTGTGTGTGTGTGTGTGTCGTGTCGTGTCGTGTCATGTGTGTGTGTGTCGTGTGTGTGGTGGCAGACGTTGGTGGACGACGCCCAATACCGGATCCGGCACCTGAGCGAGGAGCGCGAGTGGTGGAGCTGGACGGAGCGGCTGGCATCCGCCGTGAGAGCGCTCGAAAGCGCGGCCCTGGGACCCGAGGGACACCTGGCATCCTTCCAAGCGGAGCTCGACCTCGTGCGCTCGCTCGCCGCAACGCGGCCCCTCTACAAGGCCGTCGCCCACCACATCGAAGCCCAAGCCTCCCGGTACACCCCCTCCCCCAATACTCCCTCCTCCAATACCCCTTCCTCCCTCCTCCCCCCCAAATATGCATCACATGGGGTGCTGACCGCGGGTACCACTGGCCATGGGGGCGGCGGCGGTGGTGGTGGTGGGCAGGGGCGTCTACTCGGTCGGCCGCCTGCGGGAGCGGTTCGAGCAGGTGGAGAAGCACGTGCGAGTGGCGGCGCAGGTGCCGGAAGGCGGTGGCCTGCTGCGCCACGCCGTGGCTCCTCTGCTGGCGGCGACGGTCTCCCTCAACCCGTACCACGCGCCCACTCCGCAGGAGCTCCTCCTGGACAGCGCCCGCCGACACCTCCTCGACGACGACCTCCTCACGGCCCTTCGCGACCTGGAGCAGCTCACCGGTACGCCGCCCCGACCCGACCCGACCCACATTGCTTGCGGCCCTGTTTTTCATTTCACTGTTGTTTCTATGCGTTCCCGACCTTCCTCCTTGCGCACTTAACTTGCGTGGTCGCTGGCACTGGCGGTGTGCTCGACTCATCTCTCTTTTCTCTCTCTTCTCTCTCTCTCTCTTCTCTCTTTCTCGCGCGTGCAGGGCTGGCCCACGAGCTGGCCCATGACTGGATCGAGGAAGCGCGGAAGCGGCTCGTGGTGGAGCAGGCCATCTCCGTCATCTCGGCCGACGTGACCACGCTCAAGCCACCCACCGACCTCTGAGCTGCTGCCGGCGCACACCTTTCCTCCTTACGTTACCAAACCACCTTGGAGGGGAGTAAGTCGTACGGCTCGGGTGGGCGAATACAACAACTGGCCACTCGTGGATTTTCTTCTTCTTCTTCTTCTACGGGAAGCAGGGTTAACCCTGGGGTGGAGGTTGGGTGGTGATGGGCGTGGCGAGGCCGTAGAGGCGGAGGCGCCAGCGATGGAGGGTGGCGCCGTGCTGGGGGCAGAGCTTGAGGGTCCAGGTCCCGTTGGGGGCCTCGCCCCAGTGAGCGACGCTGGTGAAGGCCCAGGCCAGTTCTGTGTGTCGGTTGAGGCCGTCCACCAGCAGCTTGCTCTCCGTGCCGGCCGGCGAGAATAGGCTCAACGTGCTCGTGCCCACGCCCTCGTGCACCGTGGCCTCCACCCACGCCTCCACGTGCTCGATCTCGGCCACCGCGCCGAACGCTTCGAACGCGCACGCGTACTTGCCCACGCGCCCTTCCGCCACGGCCTCCTCCACCTCGAGCATCTCCGACTCCATCACCTCCTGCTCCTTGGGCAGCGACACCCAGTGCCGGGCCATTGCGGCCGCTGCAGCCCCGTTCTATGTAGCGCGGCACATCAACACTTCTGGCGTCAGCCTCATCGATTCGATCAGATGCTACGATGGGTCGTAACGGTGGTCGCAATGGTGGTGGTGGCTGCGTACGAGCAGGCCGTAGCCGTAGTAGTGGCTGAACCAGCGGCCGGCCCCGTTGCGCTGCCAGTCGTGATGGTTGGGGGTGATGCGCCGTGCCGTCCGCACCACCAGGTGCTGCATGTCTCGCCACGTCAGGTTCTGGTTGGCCTGCAGCACCAGCGCCACCACTCCGGCAGCCATCGGACTAGGTCGCCCGCACCCGGCCCACGCACGCAACTCGTCAAACAAACAAACAAAAAAAGCGCAGGGGAGAGGAGATGCACCATGACGCGGAGGTGCCCCCGAACTTTTCCGTACAGCCAGTCAGGTCGGTGGTGGGCACCATGGCCCCTCGCCGGCCGGACGACGGAGTCACCGCCAGCATGCACGCGCCCGGTTCACTACCCAGTGAGGCCACACACACGCGCGCGCGCGCACACACACACACACATACACGCGCGCGCGCGCGCGCGCGCGCACACACACACACACAACACGACACACACACACCCGCAGAAGAGAAAATGATATCGATGACCGCCCAAACTCGCTGGCACCGCAACGCACCTCTGTTGGAGGCGGACCGTACCTGTAGTAGGCGGGGCCGCCAGCCTCGTTGACGGCGCCGACGGAGATGGTGTATCGGGAGTTGGCGTAGCCGTCGTAGTTCATGTTGTCATCGAAGAATCCCCCGTTGCCGCCCGCCCACACGTAGAGCGACCCTTTGCCCCCGCGCCCCTCCTTGATGCAGTGCTCCTGCCGCGCCTTCATCAGCCTGCTCACGGATGGGGTCGCGGGCGTCAGGATGATCAGGGCAACAACACCAACACCACCTATCCGCCACCTCGGCAATTGTAGAAGAGTAGGCCGGTGATCTTGTCCGCGGGGCACATACCTGCCGGGACCCTCGATGCGGCGGCCGTCGTCGAGAGGTCCCCAGCTCGCCGAGTACACGTGGACGGGCTCCTCCGGGTGGTCGCACATATACCCGATGGCGAGTGCTTCATCAGCGTCATCCGGATCCTGTCGCGGTGGTGTCGTGCGTGTGTTGTGTCGTGCGTGCGAGTGTCGTGTCGTTGGTCGTGTCGTGTCGTTAGTCGTGTCGTGTCGTTGGTCGTGTCGTGTCGTTGGTCGTGTCGTGTCGTTGGTCGTGTCGTGTCGTTGGTCGTGTCGTGTCGTTGGTCGTGTCGTGTCGTTGGTCGTGTCGTGTCGTGTCGTGTCGTGTCGTGTCGTGTCGTGTCGTGTCGTGTCGTGTCGGTTCCTTGCTACAACTACCGACGAAGCTAGAACTGGGCAGCGGAGGCGAACCTTGCCCAGCACCTTGACTCCGGCCACGCGTGCCTTGGGGGCAGCTCCCGCCCCGCAGACCTCGTTGTCGGCGCTGCATCGCATTAATATAAGCACACCCCACAGCGAGAACGGTTGTCAGCACACCATCGTCATCATCATCATCATCAGCACTACAACCACCAGCCACCGCCACCACCACCAGCAGCATCGAGTGGAGTAAAGGGTACGTGGCGGCGGCAGTGCCGGCCGCGCGGGTGCCGTGGCCGTCTTCGGGTACGAGGGGCATAGGGTTGGACGAGTTGAAGCTGATGTCCCAGCTCCCCTTGGCCCAGTAGTTGGCCACGATGTCCGGGTGCTCCGGGTTGATGCCGTCATCCAGAATGCTCACCCGCATTCCCTCGCCCATCAGCCCTGAACACCCCGCATTCCACATTCCACTCACACGTGTGAGAGGCGGGGGGGGGAGAGAGATAAATAGGTGGGCGGGTGGTCGTGAGTGCCTTGGGACCACAGCTTCTCCACGTCGAGCGAATAAGTGTGTCCGTGCAGGTGCCACTGATCGTCCCACATGGGGTCCGCTCTGGATGCACCCAAGAGGGGAGAAGAAGATGATGATGGTGGGCACATACGTGGGGGGGGGGTATCACCACAGTCATGGCCACGCCAAGAACAAGGCCTCGTGGGGGGATGGTGGGTGCTGTGGTGTGGGGCCGCGTACGTCCGTTTAGTCCGCTTGCGCCGCACCTGGGGCTCCCACCAGTGGAGGTCGTCGGCGGTGGCCAGCGGGGCGCCCTGACCTCGCTTGCTGCGGTGCGAAGCGTGGCGCAGGAGGAAGTAGCCCTGGTGGCCCAGCCCCTCCACCTGGCGCACCACCGCCATACCGTGCCGGCGGGCCACCTCCTCGGCCCCCGCCCGCCCTCCCGTCACCTGCACGGCAATCAGCTCCTCCTCCTCCTCTTCCCGCTGCTGCTGCTGCTCGACGTCTTCTTCGGGCGCAGCTCCCCTCTTCTGCCGTTCCCCACCGCCGCCGCCGCCGCTGCTTTGGAGCTTTCCAGCGCTGTCCTCGTCGTGAAGGCCTCCCCACGACCCCAGCTCCTCCCGGCTGAGACGCGGCTGCCCAGCAGCAGCAGCAGTAGGTGGGAGGTCGAATATCGCCACGAGCAGCAGGACGGTGGCGATGACGCCCCACGCCACACGTCGCGAGGAATAAAGCCGGTCCATTTCTCTGATACAGTCGTCGACTGCTTGGGGGGGGGAACTGTTATTTAGTGTTCCTTCCCCAACAGGCACAAGAGTTTTAAGGTGTGCGCAAATTGTGCACCTCGAATGGACGATTTTCTCTGTTCTTTTCCTTTCCGGCCACAAAGAAGCAGTCCTTGATCGCACTTGGTGGCCTCGCAGTTGGCGGATCTCATCGGCAGAGAGGAAGCAGGTCAGATACTTCGTGGTGCCACCATGGCGGCCTCCATCAGCATGGAGGAGTTCCAAGGCACACCCCATTTGCCGCGTGTTTATTTCGTTATTCCGATTAACGATTTGCCCAGCGACCTGGCCTTATTTTTTGAGTTATCAGATGATTTTTTTTGATTATTATTGTTATTATTAGCAGAAGTGTTTGTGTTGTGAGCATATATTTTATTAAATGGTGGTCGTGTTATTATATGCACGCGCGTGCAGGCTTCCAGACGCAGCTGCTGGAGGTGAAGCAGGCCAAATACGAGAGCGACGAACAGCGCAAACGTCTGCAAATGGGTATACCACCGCCTTCTCCTTGAACGTTTTGCAGCCGCTGACCTCTGTTGTTTTGTTGTTTTGCTGGGCGCGTGGTGCGTTTTGGGATGATCGGACGCGTCCAGAGCTGGAGAAGCAGAAGGAGCGCACGGCCGCCCTGGAACGCGAGCTCAAGAAGGCCCAGGACCTGATGGCGCGCAGCAAGAACGCCAAGGACGTCGCCACCCTCCAGGCCGAGAACCGCAACTTCAAGAGCCTCCTCGAACAGACCGCCCGCGAGCACAAGGAGCAGGTGTGCACCCGCCTGCCTGCCCGCGACACACACACGACAACACACACACGACACACACACCGCCCACACGGCACAAGGAACGAGGGCTGTACCCTCGCCTCGGCGGGCAGCCCACTCACCGAAGAGGCTGTTGCTTTTCGGCGCGTGTCGTGGATGTCGTGGATGTCGTGGATGTCGTGGATGTCGTGGATGTCGTGGATGTCGTGGATGTCGTGGATGTCGTGTTTGTCGTGTGCGTCTTGTGCAGCAAGCGGCGCTGAGGAAGAACATGAAGACCATCTACGAGTCCAATGCCGACATGGCGGCCCAGCTGGAGGCCTACAAGGAGCGGGAGCAGGCCCTGACGCAGCGCGAGAAGGACTGCCAGGCCGCCGAGGAGCGGCTCCGAAGCCAGCAGGAGGAAGTCGCCCAACGAACCCAGCAGCTCCAGGAGCAGACCCAGCGCGCCCTCGAGGAACAGCAGCGCCAACTCGACGCCCGGTACACACCCATGATCCCCGCCGCCGCCGCCGCCATTACCGCGCGCCACACAGGACCAACCGACGTCCTCGTCGAGGAGCTGACGCACCGGGCGTGCGCGTGGGCCGTCGCCGCCGCTGCGTGCAGGATGGAGGAGGTGAAGCGGAGGGAGGAGGAGCTACGGGGCCACGAGGGCAAGATCAAGCAGCACCTCCTCGACTCCCTCGTGGGCGGCGGCGGTGGCAGCGGCGGCGAGACCCTCGACCCGTTCGCCTCCGCTTCGTCCACGTCTGCTTCCAGTACGCCCCCCGCCCTCCCTGTGATCGCGTCTTCTTCTTCTTCTTCTTCTTCGTCGTCTTCTTCTCCTCGTTCTATGGATCTATTCTCCTAAAGGGAATTGCTGCGTTGGTGGTCGTCTCACATCGCCGGTGGTGACGCAGGCCAGCTGTGGGGGGACGACGATGACGACGACGAACCCCTCACGCTCACCGCCAGCAGCAGCAGCAAGCCGAAACAGCAGCAGCAGCCTGAAAAGATGGCCACGCCCGCTCCAGAGCCGGCGGTGGCGAGCGAGGCGGACTCTGCCCCGCCCGCTACTACGGCCACGCCTACTGCCGCTGCGGACGAGCAGGCAGCCGCCAGTGCCGACGCCGCCGCCACCGCGGTAACGGATGGGCAGGCGGAAGCAGGCGGAAATGAGCAGCAGGGCGTGGAGGCCGCCGCCTCCGTGCCGCCACCCTTGTCGCCCGCCGCCGCCGCCGCCGCCGCCGCCGCCGATGAAGACGCGTCCGCTGCGGCTGATCTATCCACGACGCCATCGCTGGCGGAGAGCGATACCGCTGCGGAGGGGCGAGAGGAGAACAGTCCCGAGGGTGGAACACAACCGATGGATACAACCGGCAACGACGACCAGCGCGTGGCCGAAGAACCGCAGCCGCAGCAGTCGGACGATGGCGGCCACGCCGCCGCCGCTGCCGATGACCGGCCGGGAGAGGAGGAGCTCACGCCCGCCGCCGCCACCACCACCACCAGCAGCAGCACCGATGTGGGCGAACAGCAGCAGCAGGAGCAGGTTTCGGCCCCAGCCACGACGCCCAGCACTCCTGCTGCGCAGCCCGACGAGCTCGTGGCCGAGGTACGTACCCCTCTCCCTTCCCCCCCCCCAAACTGCTCTCCGGCCGCGCCAGCCCTCCAGGCCCACCACCGCTGTGTGCAGTGTGCGGCGCTGCGTGCGAAGCTGGAGGAGGCCCACACCCAGCTGCAGGACCTGCAGGCCCAGCTGTCCGTGTGGCAGGTACGCGGGTCCCTCAGCCCCCAATACGCGTCCCTCCTTCTCTTTGGCCGCCTGCTTACCGCCTGCTGTACGCCCGAATCTATCTATCAATCTATTCTATTTTATTCTATCGATATGTGGATCGCGTGCGCGCATCCCTGCATGTACGACCACCGCTGTGCGCAGGAGAAGACCAAGTTGAAGCACAGCAACTATGTGCGGCTGCAGGAGGAGATGAAGGACCTCACCGAGGCGCACTCCAACCAACTCGAGCGCTTCGCCAAGGAAAAGGTACCTCCTACCCGCACGCCACGCCACGCCACGTGCCAGCCAGCCACCCCTGGCGTCTGTCTGTCTCGTGCCACTCGCCACTCACCGCGATCTTATTATTATTTCCATTGTTATGTTTGTTGTTGTTATTATTATTAATTGGGGTGTATTGTGGGCGGGTACGCGCGCCTTCGCCACCGCAGGACGACGCGACGCAGAGCCACCTGGCCCTGCAGGAGCAGCTCCACGCGACCGTGGACGCACATACCCGGGAGCTGGTACCAGCTCCCGCCGCCCAACGCAGCAGCAGCAGCACACGCCGCGTCCAAGGCCAACACTTGTGGGGGGGGGGCGTGACGTGGCACCATGACGGGGAGGACAGGAGGAGCTGCAGCAGAAGGCCAGCACGCTGGAGGCCGAGCGCGCGCGCCTCGTGGACGAGCACAAGGCCGAGCTGGAGAAGCTCGCCAAGGCCAAGGTCGCACACCCTCCAACCTTTTTTTTTGCACCAGCACCAGCACTTAGTACACACGTATTATTGTGTCCATTTACTCCACCACCACCATCCACCACCACCCACCACCATCCACCCACCCACCCACCACCAGCCACCCACCCTCATTGATGCGAATGTCGTGTGTATGTCGTGTGTGTCGTGTGTGTCGTGTGCAGGGGGAGGAGTCGGGGGTGGCGGTGGCGCGGCTGGAGGAGGAGGCGCGTGCGGCGGCGGAGGCGCACCGGCGGGAGGTGGAGGAGGCGGCGCGGGAGCGGCGGGAGGAGGTGGAGCAGTGGCGGGCGCGGCTGGAGCAGGAGCGGGGCCACTGGAAGGAGGAGCTGGGCCTGATCCAGGAGGACCGGGGCATCATGATCACCAAGCTCACCGAGAAGGACCTCGCCCTCGACGAGCTCCGCGAGAAGCTCGAGCTGCAGCAGGCCGACGCGCAGCAGCAGGCCCTCGCCCTCAAGCAGGCCCTCGCGGCCGAGAGCGCCAAGGTGGCCGACGCCGTCAAGGACAAGGCCGACAGCCTGGGCCGCGCCAGGGACAAGGCCCGCGAGGAGCTGGCCGCCGCGCAGGCCGCCCACCAGAAGCTGGCCGACGAGGCCAAGACCCTCAAGGACGAGATCCTGGCCAAGGTCAACGCCCTCGAGGCCGCCCGCACGACCACCGCCAAGCTCCAGGAGCAGGCCCACGAGCAGCAGGCCCTCCTCGCCCAGCGCGACAAGCACGCCGACGCCCTCCAGGCACAGCTCCAGGCCGCACACGACTCGCTCGCCGCCTCTCACAAGCAGGCCAACGCGCTCAACGAATCGCTCGAGCGCGCCATCGAGGGACGCCTCGACGCCGAGAAGCAGCTCCACGACGCACTCGCCCGCCACCAGGAGCTCGAGACCCGCACCGCGGCCGAGCGCGAGCGCCTCGAGACGCGCCTCGCCGGCCTCGAGCGCCAGAACGCCGACCTCGAGGTCAGCCTCCGCACCCAGGCCGACGCCTTCCGCGACGAGCGCGCCCAGCTCGAGGCCGGCGCCGCGGCCCTCCGCGAAGACCTCGAGGCCCGCACCACCGCGCTCGCTGACCTCGAGTTCCAACACGCCACCCTCGCCGCCGCCCACACCGAGTCCGAGGCCGCCGTCCGGACCCTCGAGGCGCAGCTCCAGCAACTGGTACCAACACACCATACACGACACGACACGACACGCACGCGACACACATACCCGCTGCACGGCAACTGCTTACCGTGGCGACACGGGCGACCACCGACCAGAGGGAGAGCCTCGAGACGGAGAAGGCGCGTGGCGAGGAGGAGCTAGGAAGGGTGCGCGAGGAGAAGGCGATCGTGGCGAAGGAGCTCCAGGAGCTGCGCCAGCGCTTCGACGACGCCGAGCTCGAGAAGAAGATCGCCGAACGCAAGTCTCAGCAGATGGTACGTTGCTTCCCTTCTTTTCTGCGCACACTTGTCACGCCATTATTCTATATATGTATGATATACAGTTAACAACATGATCTACATATGTATGTTGGTGCCTGACGTGCATGCGGGCGAGAGCAGATGAAGGAGCTCAAGAACCAGCTGGCCAAGGAGCGTGCCAAGCAGCAGCCCAAGGGATCCGGGGCCACCCCTTCCCCCCTCCCCTCCCCCCTCCCCACCCGACGCCTCGACGGTACCCCCCCCCAACATGCTCCCGCCTGCTCCCGCTCTCTCTTTGCTCTTTTTTCTGCTCTTTTCTTTCCTTCATTTTTTTGATGCCGCGGTGGTGGCGCGCCGTAGTGTCGTCAGGAGGTGGCGGCGGCGGACTATCGGAATCCGCCGGAGGCACTCCCACCCGATCACCCGCCCTCCTGCGCGTCCGGGTACGCGCCCTGCCTCTCCCCCTTCCCCCAATCTCTTCGCCGCCGCCGCCGTCGCCGCCGTACGTGCTTTGTTGGTGAACCGGTGGTGGTAGAATGAATGGCTGATGGTGTCGGCGGTGGTGGTGGCTGCTGCTGCTGGTGGTGGTGGCTGGTGCAGAGCGACCTGGGCAGTGGCTCGGCGGGAACGAGTGGTAGCGGGGGCGTGCCCGTGGTGGTGGTGGGCGGCTCCGGCGGGGCGGGCGGCGGGGAGGAGGGCGGCGGTGCGGTGCTGGTGCGTCGCGTGGCCGAGCTGCAGCACCTGGCCGAGTCCCTCCAGCAGCAGGTGGGCCTCCTCCAGGACGAAAAGCAGCAGGTACGGACGCCCCCCCCCCACCCATGCGCGTCTCTCCCAGTCCCGAATGGGCTGAGTGGTGGCCGGTGGCTGCTGGTGGCTGGTGACCGTTACTCATTTCGGTGGTGGCGGGGGGATGATGATGATGACAACGATACAGCTGGCGGCCAAGCTGCAGAAGAAGTCGGAGATCATCCAGCGGCACCTGTTCACCCTCAAACGGGAGGGACGCGCCACGCCCCTCATGGAGAAGGACAAGGCCATACGCGCCTCCAAGGCACCACCACACCCGGCTTTTCTCATTATACCAGCAAGCAGTTCTTTAGCAAACACTTATGATTATGGATTACTATTACTATTACTATTACTATTACTAATTGTGGTTGGGGAGCAGGAGGGGATCATGAGCAGCCTCTTCCGCAGCTCGAGCAGCCGGGAGAAGACCCTGGCGGAGGAAATGACCACCACCATGTCGACCCTCCTCGAGGACACCATCCTCAAGAACATCCAGCTCAAGGTTACACGACACACGACACACGACACACGACACACGACACACGACACACGACACACGACACACGACACACGACACACGACACACGACACACGACACACGACACACGACACACGACACACGACACACGACACACGACACACGACACACGACACACGACACACACACCACCGCACACACGACACGATGACCACCTAGTGCGTATGCTGACCCTGCCTCTACTTATGTGTCAGACCGACATCGAGACGCTCGGAGACGAGATAGCGCGCCTCTCGGCCGAGAACAGGAACCTCCTGCAGGGCCTGGGCATACGTTCGCCGGCCTCGTCGTCATCATCGGCCGCCTCGTCCGTTTCTGCGTCACCGCGCGACAGGCGGCCTTCTGCATCCGACGGCGAACAGGCCGGCGAGGACGAAGAAGAGGAGCCATAAGGGAAGAGACAGGAAATTGGACCCCCCGTACCAATTTTTCAAAGATAATAGAATCACCCCATGCTGGTTTGAGTTAACTGGCACAGCGTCACACAGCGTATCGATTTTTTGCAATTCTAGAATTTCCTTTACGTATTTTTCATCGCCGTTTTTCTTTTCAATAAATATATATTTATGGTAAGCATCTTCCGCAGCCAAAAAGAAAAAGTTGCCACGTCACAAAAGCAAAATAAAAATGGACGGGTGGCAGCGGCTGGCGGCCGCGGCGCGGCAGGTGGAGGCCTCTGCCGCGTCGGTGGTGCTTGTGCAAGTGCAGGGCGGCGGCCTTCCGAGGGATGCGGCTGCGGCCTCGCTGCCCAACGGCCGACATGTTGGGGGGGCCAACCTGGAGGAGGGGGCGGTGGCGTGGGTCCGATGGTGGGCGGAGCGGGAGGCGCGGGTGGTGGGCGCCCTCCTGCACGTGGCGCGGACCCACCACCGGGACGAGCGGCAGCAGCGCGTCGCACACGCCCTCGATCCCGCAGCGGCAGCAGGTGTGGACGACGAGCTGGAGCTGGAGGAGGAGGAGGAGGAAGAGGAGGAGAGGGCGCTCGCGGCGCTGGAGGCCAGCACGAGGCGCGCCGAGGAGCTCGAGGAGGCCCTCTTCCGCCGCTCCGAAATGCAGTCCCGTCGCGTGTGCCTCGCCGCGCACCTGCGCGCTCTTCCGCACCACCTCTCACGTCTCTTCCCCACCACCACCACCACCACTACTTCGTACGTGGTGGCCACCATACACACGGCACACGGCACACGAGCGAATGCTTGATGGGTGCTGTGGCAGCATTCAAAAACAAATGAGTCAGCCCGACACGCACACGCACACACACAACACACACGCAATACACACAACACACACGCACACACACGCACACACACGCACACACACACACACGCACGCACACTGTTGACGATGGTGGCTGGTGGCGGCTGGTGGCGACTGGTGGGTGGGAATCGTAT